TCATGACAGCAAACAAAAATGCAAAAAACAAGGTTTACAATTTGCTTGTTTTTTTACCTAATTAACAATATTTCTGAAAAAAGAATTAAAAATCATTTAGTTTTCCTTTAAGAAGGAAAGGTTGGAAATTGCGATATTTTTACATCATTGAAAAAAAGTTTTTTCCGCAAACCTTTTCGTAACAATGAAAGTAAAGTTAAAACTCAAGGTTGTCGTAAGGTTACATGCTTTCTGGGAGTGTTTTTTCTTTGAAAATATGTGTCTTTTCTCGTTTACAATGAGCTGGATTGAATTAGATATCCCGATTTTAACCCCCCTCCCCTCTCAGGCCGCTTTAAAAACACCAGTCTTCTTTGCAGAGAGTGTGAAAGTCGAATGGAAAAAAAAAATCAAGAATTTATCAACTCAAAAATGTCAAAACAGACTGAGGTAGCCAAATCTAGTAAACCTAAATAACGATTAATCGATAATGTATACAGCAATGATAGAAACCTATATTCAATTATTTGTTGAGGCTGCTGAGGAACGTCCCCGGGAATTCGAAAAATTCTATGATGTGTATAGACTTTGCGTGGCAACTGTCTTCAATTGTTGTTTTCGCTTGCTGATATTACTGATAAGCAGCGATGTGTACTGATTATTTATTTATTTCGTACATTGGTATGGTGTAGCGAATTTGTGAACTCTAATAGTAAAATGTATTAGTAGAGTTTTTTTAATCATTTACAGAAATATCCCGGATGTAAGGAGTAATCTATTAATACTAAGCTCACTCGTCACCTGTTACTGAAACTATATGCAAAAGTAGACTATTTTTGTTTACTTCTCTTAAAATATCATTTATGCCTTAAAATAAAATTGACTTGTGCTTTGCTTGCATAGTTTTTTTGACTAAATGTAGTTAGACCTATCCTGTTTATTTATTAAATTGTTACTCAATTTATTTAAATTACTAGTTAGTATAAGTACTATATATGTTTTGCCCTCAAAATAATTGAAAATTATATATTGCGCATCATTTAATATTGTACTTATATGATTAATTTCAATATTTTTTTTCTTTTAACGGATTCTGAATTCATCATTTGTTAAAAGAGGTGGCCATTTCAGGAGAAGTGAAAATTGTATTAGAAACAACGCATATATTAATTTCATAAAAAGCATTAAAAATATATAATGTATTTTCGCAATTGAGGATATTTTGGTATCGTGATCGGCCGCAACGATTATAATTGCGAAGGCGTCAAATAGTTTATAAACTAGCAATTTTTTTTCTTAAAAAGAAAAATGTGGAGGTTTGTTTGTGGTTGACTGTGAGTTATACCCTTCGAGTTAGACTTGTTCTGTGATATTCTCTTTACTCTATCGCGAGACTGTCTGGATATCGCCAAGACTTGGCTATTATTGTTAGATCTCAATACAGTGGGATGATTTCCATATTATTATCTGTTGCAGAATAATTGCAAATTCTTGACGGCTTGTGAAAAACTAAGAATCACGCAAGAGGACCATTTTTAAGTGCATTATTCGTAGCACTTCTCAGACAAACCTCTACCTACAAGTTTTTATTTTTAAAAACTACAAATGTAACATCCAATTGGCACCTTGAGGATTGTAGCTGGAAAGACAAATAACTATACTTTTTTTTTTCCTTTAATTTTGTGCCTTGGTCTGTATCGCCTCAACAAAATATTTCATCGTATACATGAAAACTATACATTCTTAGCAATTTTAATTTTCATTTAAATTGACTTTAATTATATTTAATAAAAGTCGCTTAGAAACAAATATGAGAACCAGTAAAAAAATGTACAAATTAATTTTAGTTACTAGTTTGAACAGGGTGCGTAGCGTTTGTAAGAAGTACTTAAAGGTGCTTTTTTTGGGATTTCGTTTTAAAAGCTTTTAAAGGTGCTTTTTTCAGCTGGCGTTTTTCAAAAGTGCTTTTTTTTCGACTAATTTTTTTCCCTTCCCTTCAGTGATATCTGGTGGATCCCATGCATTTCACGAAAAATGAGGAGTTTGCTACGTAATCATTCACGCTGACTTCATGTTGTACCCACGTTATGACTTGCGCACACTTGTAACCGAAACCCGAGTGCTCCAATTCGGATAGAGAATATCAGATCCTTATGAAATGTTTTTCTTTTTAATTTATTTTATTTTAGTTCTTGTTTATTTTATTTTACTTCTAACACTTTTTTTGACGTAGGGGGTAAGGGTAGTTTTGTTCTGAGTTCAGGGTCAAGTTGAATTCACTCGGTGATGTGGGAAAGTACTGATTGATTCGATTTACGCCCGTTTCTTTTTGGGTTTTTTTTAACGCTAAAACTGTTTATAAAAAGTTTTTGTTTTTCAGTAATATCATTGATTGAATATGAATTTTTTGAGTGCTTGAAAATTTTTGTAATGTGTTTGAAAAGTGCTTATTTTTGATTCAAAGATTTGGCTACTCACCCTGTTGAAGATTAGTTACTAAATTTTCCTTTAATTTTACTCCTGTAATAGTTATGCAGGGCTCTAGCTATGGGTTGGGCAGATATCAGGGGTGTAGGGTATTTACCCCTGCCTTGGGTAAATCCCTAAAATGTCAGTTTTAATAATTTTTTGTTCTTTTAAAAGCATATAAACTAGATTCATCTCTCTTTTAGTTCTTATAATAATGTAACTATTTCTAATTTTCAAAAATAAACTCTAAACTTAAAATATGTCAGTTCTAGAAAAAATATTTTTCAAAGCTATAAATACTTAGTAGAGTAGCTACATTGTCACATTAAAAAAGTAATGTAAAAAGGTTTGCATTGTTTAATAAGGTAGGTTTTATATATAATCATTTAAGTTCAAGGTTACACATTTTTCAAGAAGAAATAATTTTTCTGAGGCAATAGGATAAACTGGATTAAATAGAAGAGATTCTAAATGAGCCCAGAGAATAAGTTTAAAATGTATAACATTTCACATTTAAATTTTAAAAGAAATTTATTCATAAATTTAACCAAATATCAGCCAAAATCAACCTAATTTAAACCAAATCTCTTTTTTTTTAATTTTATTTATTTATTATTATTTTTTTTTAGAAAATATAAGTATTTTAAAATTTTTTATTATTTTGTTTGTTCAGATGTTTTTTTTTTGTATATGTTGGTTATAATTTAACAAAAATAATACAAATTATTTTTTTAAAAATTATTTTATTTTAAATTTAATAAACCCTAAAAGTGGGTTGACTGTTCAGCGATGGTTTTAAAATAAAATTTGAGAGGGCTTTAACACATTCATTGCCAGCCTAGTGCAGGCATTCAAGATTTGCTATGTCATTCAAGAGTGGTAATATATGAAGATAAAATCAAATTTAAATTTTCTTATATTTACAACCATCCTATAAAAATAAATACATTTTAATAAGCAGTATGTTTTCGTTATGAGAAAACATTTTTTCGGCAAAAATAAATGGATGATAATATGCATCTTGTTACCACTTAATCAGTTTTATTGACACAAACTGTAGGGGGAAAAATATGGCATGATCCGGCTACGAGCCTGTTAATTTGTGCTTTGTGTTTCTTGCTTACATCATCTATTTTGTTGTAATCTGTTTAGTTGAAAAATTCTCTGGTCTTAATATTAATTCTAATTGGTTATGAGAGGTATTTAACAGTAATTCAGTGTTTCCAGTGTAATTCAGTGTTTCCCAAAGTGTGGTATGTGTACCCACAGGGGTACGGAAACAGTTTAGCGGGGGTATGTGTTCTAATGCGAAACATCTTGCAACAAACTAAAATTTCAAACAATTTTATTTAAAAACAAACCTAGCCATGGAATTTTACGACTAAGTATTTTTCTATTGGCTATTGTTTACAGAGTTCACAGTTAATTATTAAGAGGTTTTAACAGCCAGTTGTGATTTTAAACTTTTGTGCAATTTTTTTTTAGTAAAAAATGCATTCATTTACTTGTTAGTGGTACACAGTGTTACAATAAATTTAGAAAGGGTACACAAAAGTCATAAGTTTGGAGAAACACTGCTGTAATTAAATAAAAAAGAAAAAGACTTTTCAGAAAAATTCATTTTGTTATGATTGAGAGGAATACATATTTTTCTTTTAAGTAAAAAAAAATTGTTCATTCAAACATTGTTTCCCCAAATTTACGATTTTATTACATTTGCCGAGGTTGTGGATGCTTAGCGAGGGCCCTGGTTATGTAATTAAAAGTCAAGGGTCTGTCCAGGCCAAATTTGCTACCGTTTAGCGCTACCTTCACAAATTCAACTTTAGGAAAAACGGTAGTTTTACAAAATACTTTTTCCTAAAATTTTATTTTCGTATCCCGTAAAAAACGATAAATCCATATTTGCACCACATTTTTGTGTTGATTTTATAATATAATTTTTAATTTTCGCGAATTATGTCTAATTTTCACAAAAAAGGTAGTATCCCTGAAAGTAGAACATTATTTAAGAATTTATAATATAAAATAGAGATAAGGCATGGTTAAGATGAATTTTCAATTGCTTAATTTATTTTTTAGACAAAATGTCATACTTTTAAGAATAGTTTATGTAGTGATAAATCTTCCTAGGGAAAAAGATATAAGATAATTACTAGTGAAAAGAATATGCAGATCCTTATCCCATATTTTTAGTTTATGTAGTAGCTCAGTAATATAGTTTACTACTGCATTTAAGAGATTCTAATTAATATAATAAGTCCTATTTACAACAGAAGCGCATTTCACAGAGAAACAAAAAACTCTTATAATTGGGTACCTATAATTTGAAAAGAATTGAAGTGATTATGCCTGAACATGTAATCTAAATCAGATTTAATTGCATACTCGTAAGGGATGTTACATGTGTTTATAGAGCTTGATTGACTTTTGAATCGATTTACCTACGATGGCGTCACTTGCAAGTATTCGATGGGGTTTTGAAATTATAGCCACGCAAAAGATCATTTAATAAATAATTTTTAAAAAAAATTAGATCTTTCTTAACTGCAATTTTTCTTTGCAGCTAAGCTTTGTTCAATTTCAGCTAATTATTCAATTTCCTTGTTTACACTTTGTGGTTTATGGAGAATTTCATTCTGTAGATCATCTACTATATTGCCGACCGGCCTGTGGTGGGGGCAGGGAACTGTCCTTGCATCAGAAAGGTCCTGGGTTCGAATCCCGGGCAAGGCATGGATGTTTCTTTCTCTCTCTCTGTGTGATATATGTCTTTCTCCTTTGTTTGAATGTGACCTGCCCTATAAACGGGTTGTGGTTGTGTGAATGGCGTGGCAGAAGTCGAATTTCTGGTCATAGATGGCGCCACTAAAAAAACAGGAACAATCGCAACCCCCACTGCCTAAACAGGCATACGACAACAACAAAAATCTACTTTATTATTTAAGTATATAATCAGTAAAATCATCCAAGAAACACAACAATGAAAAGTAATGACACCTCCTTTGGGAGGCATGATTTATATTTTTCATATTGCCCTACTCATTTTATAAAATAACTTGTGACAAACTGGCTAAGTATGAAACAGTTAATGCACTGTTCACTGCCTTGACATTTTTAAGAATGATTTAGCGAAGAACATAAAAATTTTTATATTTCATGCTTAGCCTAAACATCGTTTGTTGTTCTATAGAATGTCTGGGCATTCTATATAAGAATAAACATAATTCCCAAATGTTATACTTAACCAAAAAAGTACAAGACATTCTATAAAATAGCAACATTGCATACATTCCCATATAATTTAAGAAAATAAAGCAGTTTATAACAAACTGTAAAAATGTGTGTGTGTGTACTGATGTAACATTTAAATATTGTTATTTATTTTATTAATGAAATCTTTTTCTATTTAAGAGTAGATATCAAGTAAAATATTATATGTGTCCTGGGTTGCCACTCTTCAGGGAGAATAGGGAAAACCTGTAAAATACTGGGAATTTTCAGTTTTTCCTTACAAACAGGGGAAATACAGGGAGTTTTATTTCTTATTTTCGTCTTTTAAAAAGTGGTGACCTCTCAAAGCGCATTCTATGGCATATTAACGATGATATTTCTGCTATACTAAACTATTTAATTTACTATAGCATTATTTCAGGATTGCCACAGGCTACTAAAATGCAGCTATTAGCTACTATTTTCGGCCTTATGCGACTATGGCGACTTTTTTTACCTGAAAAGGTTAAAAAAGCAACTATTTTCAGGAATATGAGATTTTTTTTACTCTTGGCGAAGTTTTTTCACAAAAATGAACGTTACTTTTCAGAACGTTAATAAAAGAAATCAACTTTTATACAATCATTTATTTCCAAAGAGCCATAAATTTAAATTTCCATTGAATTTAATAAAGTACTTGTTATATGCTCTCTCTGAAGGGCAGTTTTCTTATTTTTAATTGTTTTTTCCTTCTATTAACATTCATATTTTATTGTTATTAGACTTTTATTTAGATACCTATTTTCTAATAGACCTTTTATATTTGTACAAAACTTTTTTTTAATTGGAGCACAGTTAGGACTGGGCGATAAATCGATGTATCGCAAAACATCGATTTAACGCATATATCAGTAGGCCGATGTAGTGACTTTCGTTTTAGGCGATGCATCAGAAACAGATTACAATCGTGGTTTAACGATTTAATATGCAAACTTGACTAGGCTAACGCTGTTACCACACTAACGAAGACTATTTTGATTTCGTCTAGCTGCAGGGATGTAGATAGCGTTTTGCTATTAAGATGATGTTAGTTTCGTAATGTTGAATGACAAAGAGCGAATTGAATCAGAACTCCCGGTTTTGTGCGAGGATCAGCATTGTAGTGTAGAACGCTATGCGTAGTTTCTTTTTGTCCATTTTTATCTTTGGGATTTTGTGTTTTTTGAGGATTATTTTCAATGGGACTTCAGTAATTTTGCGATCGTAGTGCATTTTATTTCGTCAGAAATAATTGTCGGATTTCTTGTTTTCAGTGAGACTTTTGCAGCGATCGTTTCGTTCTGCATTAATTCATACCATTTTTTTTTCTGTCTGGGTTTAACGATTCTTGTCAATTATTTTTAGTAGACCTACTGTTACTTTGCAATTGCTGCACAATCGCTGTTATCTTAAATTTTCGTTCTGAACTCACTTGATCAAATCATTGATTTTTTTCAATTGTTTTTTATTTTAAGCGATACAATTTATTTAAAAATATAAAAAAAGTTTTGTCAGAAAATAAATAATGAAGATAATTAATGAAGAAACTTTTCTTTATAAATTCTTTTCAATAATAGATTGCGTTCAGAACAAGGTTACGACGGCGATCACGAAGTTAATCCCATTGAAAACGATCTACTAGAAACGATTTCAAATCGCGAAGTTGCGAAAACGAACATGTGATATAACGATATAAGGTCTCAAAAGTGATTCTGATTCTACCGCTCATCAGTCAAGGCCGTCTCAACATAACGAAACAATATCGTCTTCCACAGCGCGAGTTGGCATCGGAACGTAAGAGAAAGTCCTTGCGTGTATCGCTATATCGTTATATCGTCTTCTTCACTCGACGGCTTAAATCAGATCTCTGATGCATCGCTTGGAATGAAAGTCGCTATATCGGTTTGCCGATATAGGCGTTAAATCGATATGTCGCGATATATCGATTTATAGCCCAGTCCTAATCTATAGTCAATTTTATTTTCAAAAATGAAAATAATAATAAAGTAAAAATATTTTTACATTTATTAAGTACGGAATTTGACCATCAGTTAATGCTACTTTTTGTTATTTTAAATGAGTAAGTAAAAAAGGGGCTAGTGATGTTTCAAAAGCTTGTTGTTTTTCAACAAATAATAATTTTTTTTTTTTTGTAAAGTGAACATTTCTTTGGTTTGTTTTCCACTTTCGTTTTTTTTCTTTTAATTTTTAATTCATGTATGTAAAATAATTTGTTACAGTATTATTATTTTTAAACCAATGAGTCTTAAATAAAATAATGCTTGTGTTTGCTTTTACTTTGACTTCTTTATTAATTTAATTGAAAAAATTAAGCAATGATATTGATGTCATAGTAGAATATGTTTAGAATTAATATTTTCTTTTGTACTATATTTATTCCTTTTTATTTATTTTTGATTATATGTCGGGATGTCTGACAATGTATCACAATTTAAAATTTCTGACATCACCCAGTCCTAATAATAGTATTTGACAATTAAGCTATAATTTTAGTTATTTGGCTACTATTTTTGATAAATTTTTGTTTCTGTTCAGGCAACGATTTTCATTGTTTTAGGCAACTATTTTCATGCTTAAGGCTACTAAAAGCAACTATTTTTGTTAATTTTTTACTGTGGCAACCCTGTTATTTGTTTCGAGTAGGTTCCTTATTTCTTTAAGTTTTTCCTGCAATTAAAACTAGTATAGTTATCTTAATGAAGCTCAGACAAGAGAACCGTGATTGTGTGTTTCCTCTTAATATATTGTCTATAATATGTGCAAGGAAAAAAACGGGGAATTTTTTCTTCCAGATTAGAGTGGCTACCCTGGTTTTAAGTTAACAAGAGCTATAAAATAAAGCTATTTTTTTCTCCCACTTAGATATATAAAAAGATATTTTTGCTATGACATAATCATCATGAAATCCCCTAAAGGAATCTCTGCATAAAGGCCGTTTTCATGGTTGTATATCGTAAAGAACCGAATAACTTAGATCCACTAACAGGAACTACGGCTGCAGTTGAAGAGACCACTGCCAATGAAGCTGGGAAGAATGCCATTCCTCAGATGGCTCCAAGGGCCATCCTGACATCACGACCCAACTCCCACCCATTCAGGGAAAGAGAACTTGTTCTAGATCAGCCCATCAAAGTAGGACGTTCTGTTGCCAGGTGCAGGCCAGCAGTCAACAATGCAATCTTTGACTGTAAAGTTTTGTCCAGAAATCATGCACTCCTGTGGTATGAAAATGGAAAGGTAATTATATTGTAGAATCTTGCTTCTTGTGGTAATGTTGGCGACTGCTTTACCGAGTTGTCGCCAACTCGAACTAAGGAACACTGTGGCAGAATTTTTTCAGGCTTACTGTAGGGTATTTGCTCACCTGGAAAGTCATGAATTTTGTTATGGAACAAAATTTGTCATGATCTTAAACTATTTTTTAAAAAAAAATCATGGTAAGTCATGGATTTAGTTCGCTGAAAAATCTAATTTTTAAAAGTGAATTATCCTCTCCCCCAATTTCATGGTGTTAGAAATATCTGAATTAGAAACAGGAAAACTACTAAATAATTACAAAGGGGTAAGTGACAACAAAAATATATATTATAACATGAGATATACAGGACAAATGGCTACTACAACTACTACTACTACATTCAAAAAGCGTAGATGTCTCTTTTAAATAAGATCTTTTTACAGTTACGGTTACAATTTAATTAACAATAAACACTGCCATCTATCGGTGGTTCAACAAGTATTTCCACATAGGTTCTTGCTGTTAGATCAGTGGTGACAAACAATGCAAACATTTGATCTGGGACGACATCAGGATTATAAGGACTTCTACCAGTTTTGCTAAACTCTTTAATTGTAGTCTCTGCAACGGCTGCCCATGAGTAGGCTGCGTTGAAGTTTGCAACCTCATTCAGTTTTGTAACCTCGTAAATTGTAACGCATCTACCTGGATGGTTGAACAGCTACCTTCAAACTTCTTGTTCATAATACATGCTCAGTGGAGCCATGAAACTAAGAGGGGCTGAAGGCAATGAGTTGTATGTGGGGAGAAGGTTATTATGATTACATTATTTTCTCTTGGCAAATTTACAAGCTCCAAATTTTTGATGTGATTGTTATGTTAATCAAGCAGCAACAGCACTGGCTTCTTATGCCTGGGTTTGGAAAGTTAAACGAACTTTTAAAACCAAGCAATGAAGATCTTCTTAGTGATCCAGCCGGTCTTGTGATACACTGCAAACGATCCTGGAGAAGCATCATCCATGAGTCATGGGGTTTTCCTTCACTCGAGGAAGTACAAACATAGGAGGGACGAATATCCTCATTCGACTGAAGACAAGCTACCCACTTGCTTTTTGCCTCGTAGACTCAACACTTTTGAAAGCTTGTTTGGCGCTGTTAGAATTCCTATTTTATAAATATCATTTGGAGTAATCTTATGTTTACTTAATAGAGAATTCAAAAGTTCAATAAAACTGCTTAACTGCAGTGCGATTAAACCCTTTTGCTCGGGCCATATTCGTGGGTTCTGGATTTTGGAGGCTAAGTTCTTTCTGTCTGCCAAGAAATGAATACAGGCAGCACTTTCCGACCATTTTTTTCCTGTGTTAAAATTATGCTTAATATTGTTTCTCTCAGCTAACTCAAATGTTAGTATCGTATGTCTGTTACAGTTATACCAAATAATCTCTCTTCTAGAGCCAATACATGCTCCTGTGTTTTTTCTCGTTCAGCTTTGAATACTGTCTCATATCTGTCCAACTTTTTCACTGCTGCCAATTCAGGGGTCAATGTATTTGTACGTGCCTTTTTTACCTTTCTTTCAATGTAGTAATAATAATGTAGTAGAAGTAATAGGCAAACAAATAGGTGGATAAAGCGGGACATAAAAAAACTTTATCCCGTTTTATCTAACTCATAAGTGCCCCGTTTTGTCAAACTCAGACACTTTTCTAAACAAACATGGCTGCTGCCTAAGCGTGAAAGAAAAATTAGATTGACTAGACATAAGAATACTCATTAATAAATGCTTCATCAAATGTAATACTCACCGGAATTGTAATCTCATATATATAGACAGTACAATGTGAAAAACAACTCACGTAAATGTAGAAAATGGCAAAGAAAATAGAGTAAAAAAGTTTTGAGATCTACAACTTTCTATCAACTTGTGATCTCGAGAGGGGATGCACTGAAAATGATATAATCCCAGTCAAATAACAAGTTTCTGTCGTCTGCTAGATAGCTGCAATAGTCTGGTCCCTATGCGACGTATACTGTTTTATCCGACTATCCCGTTATATCCAACTCTCCCCTAAGTGTAATTACTTGAGTGTGCAAATTGAACTTTGCATGCCGTGATATTTTCTGAATTTTAAAGAAAAAAAATCATGAGGAAATCAATAGTAATTACTGAGGAGTGAAGGATAATGGAATGTAAAAATACCAATTGTAAACTCAACAATAATTGCCGTAAAAATTATCAAAACACTCCACATATTTACGATGATACAGGTGTGAGCTCTGTGGCAGAATTGTTTCAAGCTATGTGAGACAAAACTCTCTAACACTAATCTCTTTCTGCAAGATACTTTTAATAATAACAAGCATATATGTTACTAATTTTAAATAACAAGTGTTGTGTTTACAAAAAAAGCGCTATTACTGTGATTTTTTAATTGAACATGTAATAATTTATTCTAATATTGTGTGTGATATTCTCCCATTTTGTTAGGGGGATGCACAAGAATCAGTAGTAGTAATTGCTGAAAAAAGATCTAAAAAATCATGCGAATCGGACTCCGTGAATGCATGTTTCATTCCAAGATTAGGTTGTTGTAATTAATAATATCGTTTAAAAATATCAGATTTTAAAAACTATGGAGAAATCAATAGCAATAACTCCCAAAAATTTGATGGAATTATTGCTTTGAAAAGTAAATACGCAAATGCACGATTTGAATTTTTCATATTGTTTGAAATACCTATCGGGATATTTAAAATCCACATAGATATCAATAGCTGCCGAAAATACAATCAAAATATTACATCGATTTATGATATTATCGACCAGGGTTCTTGCTGTCCTAAAATGTCCTAGAAAAGTGCTAAAATTTTCCCCAACTTTTTTAGGGCCTAAAAAGTGCTAAAATTTCTTCTGAGTGCTAAAAAAGTGCTAACTATTTTTTATTTTGGCGTTTTGAAATTTTTTTTANGGTTCTTGCTGTCCTAAAAAAGTGCTAAAAAATTTTCCCAACTTTTTTAGGGCCTAAAAAGTGCTACAATTTCTTCTGAGTGCTAAAAAAGTGCTAAATATTTTTTATTTTGGCGTTTTGAAAAATGTTTTGAGCCATCGGATTCCTTAAATCGGTTTCCCTAAATACTTAAATTCTGCTGTCTTCAGCTCTCCTGCTGCCTCCATCTTTTTAGAAGTTTCTTGGGCTTTGGGGAAAGAAGTTCTTTCTTCTGAGATTTTATGGGCTTTAAAAGTTGTAGAAAGCTACTGCTCCTACAATTCTTCCAAAGACACTGGAAAATTATTTAGTACAATGTTTCCAGACAGTTCAATAGCACGTCATTTCGCCTGCAGTGAATCTTCTAAGTGTGCATATCTCTGTCATTTTGAACTTGCACCTCATTTTAGCATGCTACTTCTGAAGTGCATTGATAATGCCAAGTTTTATACTGATGAGTCTTTGAACAAAGCGACACAGCAGAAGCAGTTGGATATTTGTATCCACTTTTGGAACCCAGATAAGAACATTGTAGAGACGCGATACTTAACATCAGCTTTTGTGGGCCATTCTGCAGCAGATGACCTTTTAGCCTGCTTTTATGCATCAGTCAAAAATGTAGACCTGAAGAAATTATTGCAGATTTCTATGGACGGTCCTGCTGTCAATAATAATATTCAAGATTTATAGATTTCAGTTTTATAATAATATTCAAGAAGATTTGTTCAATGCAATGCAATGCAATGCAAAGAACATGGTGTTCAATGCAATGCAATAGGATGTTGTGGGTTTCATATTTTAAATAATGCATTCTACAAAGGTGAATCTGAAATAGAATGGCTCATTGGTTCCATCCTGAGCTCAATCTTCTATCTTTTTAAAGATTCACCCACAAGAAAAGAAGATTTTACTAATCAATCAACTGAGAACAAATTACCATTAAAATTTTGTAACCACCGTTGGCTGGAAAATGCACCTGCAGCTGAAAGAGCAATATTGCTTTGGAATGATCTGAAATCTTATGTGAAAAATGTTAGCAAGTGTAGAAAAGGGAGCTAGTTTCACCATTTTTGAAACTGTATCAAGCAGATCGGCCACTTTTACCATTTTTTGCTGCAGATATCCAGGATTTGGTTTTACATAGTGTGCAATTATATAACATTCTGAACGCAGAATCTATAGATAACTTAAATTCTCTGGAGAATCTGTGCCATTTTAATTTTTGTGATGAAAAGAATTATGTCTCTCTGACAAAAATAAGTTTAGGTTTTAAAGATGACCAAATTTTAAAGCAGCTGTTGGCCTCAAAAGTTATTTCTGACCGGGATCATATGAATATAAAGGAAGATTGCAGAAAGTTTATCACGAAAATGTTAGAAACTTTACTAGAGAAATGTCCAATAAACTATTCTGTTGTAAGAAATGTTGCTTGCATCAATCCAAAATTAATGGCAGAAAACAAAAGCAAGTGTGTTCTAAAAATGAGAAACATATTAAATTAATTAAGTCAAAAAAAGAAAATTGAGGAAAAAGATTGTGACAAAATTAAGCTGCAATTTGCATCATGTATAGATTAATTATGTAATTTTTACTTCATGAATCATGAAACACTTTATTTGTATATTTTTAATATCATGTATAGATTAAGTATGTTATTTTTACTTTACATCAAGTGCTAATTTTTTTTTCTTAGTCCTAAAAAAGTGCTAAAAAAGTCCTAATTTTTTTGTTGAAATAATTGAGCAAGAACCCTGTCGGCGTAAATTGAGCGTATCAAAAAGTGATTATCTAAATGCAAGATTCAGATATTATTTGTAAATTTCTATAAAGAAAAGTAATTATTTTTTTTACTTTCTAAAAGAAAAATCTTTCTGCAAGAACTCTGTAACGTTCTGCGACAATGTCTCTGTGTCGCTATGATTCTGCCACGGGGGGAGAGGGGGGCGTACGATGGGATGTGAGGAATGGAGTGAAGACTCTAATGAGTGATTTAAATTTTTCATACGCGTAATAGATTTTATTTAAATTAAATTTTAAAAAAAGGGAGAAGCACAGCAAGGTTAATTATTTTGTTAAAAATCTTAATGTGTTACAGAATCTTCACTCCCAGTCATATTTAATTAAAACATGGAGTGCAGGGCTCTTAATTTTGTCTTGAAAATGACTTAATTACTTAAGAATTATTTGTCGTAGAAAACCTGAAAAAAATTGTGCCACATTATTTCTTTTTATCTAAGCTTCTCTATTTTATACTTAGAATATTAGCATAAAATATCTTTTCTCTCTAGTTCTATTTGCAAGATACAAAAAGCAGTAATGGAACATTTGTGAACAACCAAAGGCTGAGCAAAGGTTCTGAAGAGTCTCCAGCCAGAGAAGTCTGTTCTGGAGACATAGTACAATTTGGTGTTGATGTGGTTGAAAATCCTCGCAAAGGTACATATAGTTTGTCTAAAGTAAGAACTCCCCATGTCATTCGTCTGGACCTGTGGCGGTGACTATGGTAACGAAATATAACTATATCAAGTAGGGGTGTGGGGTCATTGTTTAGAACAGGTTTTAGCTCTTGGATCCGCGAAAGAAAGGGAATCATTTTCTTTGGTGTTATAGTCCTAGAGTGAAGAGAAGCTAGCCTCCCTAAAATGATCTAGTTTTGTTTTCATAGCAACAGACAGCCTCAGACTTTGTGGCCAAACTATACACTGTTTTTTTATAGTCAAGGTGTAAACACTCTATTTCTGAAGAGATCAAAATGACTTTATTCGACTGAAAAAGTTTGAGGAATGTTTACAGGGAAACATTATTATTATGCAGAGATGATTGTGTATATTTTATTTAAAAATATTGGAACTAGAATTTATGATTGGCATCGCTTTCATTTGAAAATATTTTTTTCTGGTATACTGATAAATGTGATGAGAGATAAAAGTTTAACTTATACGGAATTATTCATTTAAATTATGCTGCATATAATTTATTTAGAATTTCATGTTATAAAAATATCAATGATTTAAATTTACGGAGACATAAATTTTTTGAAATGCATCATTAATGATTTTACTCAAGAAATTTTCAGGATTTTTGAGCTCACAATCACCCCTGATTTTGCGAACGTGTGAATTAGAATTTAGGCTTTTTATATTATATGTTACTGTGAATGACCGAAATGGGTGAATGTTGACAATCACTAACTCCATTTGATAAATGTCAAAAATATATACTAGGTCTAGTTAAGTGTCACTGCCCGGTATACATTTGCCAGGGATGAGATTTTTCCGCTTTTTAGCTGATTTCCGCTTTTTTTACTTTTATCTCTTAAATTTCAGCTTTTTTTTAATGAAAAATTCAGATTTTCTAAAAATTTCACTGTTTTTTTTATAAGNTATAATAATAGATTAGTACACAATTGTATGTCAACACATTATTTATTACCTTAAACTGTCTGGAATTTACTGTTAAAGGGTTGCGCTTGCGTAAAATTTAGTATCGTGGAAATTCAGCTTTTTTGCCTTTTGGCTAATCTCATCCCTGATTTGCGTGGTACGCCCTTCATCATAGTTTTTTTAAGGTCAAGTGCCACTACCAAATTTGAATTTAACCAGTACTCTGAACACTCTCCTAATCTATCCTCAGCAGATATTAAAATATCAAGTAAATATAATAATATTAACGAATAAATTAATATCACATTGGATATAACAAATATTTCGGACATTCACCGAAGCGACTATCACATTGTGATTGTTCACATAAGTTCAAGCTGCATAAGTCAAAATAATTTTAATTAATTAATCAAAATAATTCTGAAATTTATTATAAGTACTTAACTTCTACTAATTTTAATGATAAATACAGTGGAATCCTAATTGTAAGTTTTTCTTTGCATTCAAAAACGTACGAAGAATAGGGAAAACAAGGAATTTAGTTTCTTATTTTTGTCTTTTAAAAAATGATGACCACTCAAAGCGTAATCCATGGGATATTTAAGGATGATATTTCAGCTATACTAAACTATATAATTTACTTATAGAATTATTTAAGTATGTTCAGTACTTTTTGAATTCCTATACGTTTTTCCAGCAATTAAAACTAGTGTCGTAGCCCAATATAACTCACACAAGAGCACAGTAATTGTTGTGTTTCCTTTTAATATATTGTGTATAATAAGTACAGGAAAAACGCAGAGAATTTTTTATTCCAGATTTGAATGGCAACTCTACCATTGTTTGCAAATTTGCTTTACGGTTTACATTCGCAAATGCTTCAGATTTTTTATGCCTTCAAACTCTAGATCAGTTTTGGGTATGTCCTCTGATATTTTTTGCGTCTTTATAACCGGGAGCATCATTGACATCAGTGGAATATAATTTTTTTTCCCGAAGAGGCAATACTGAGACGCAATTTACCCCAAGGAGCTTTATTAAATCCTTTTTTAATGCATTTTAGTCGACACTGTCCAATGTGGTGGAAATCTAGAAATTGGGAGATTCCAAAACATTTATTTTTGTTTTGAGATAATCGAAATCAAGAAAAAGAAATGATTACCTAACCAATTGTTTAGTGTAATGTTCTTTAAATGATTGGATAATTACAAGATTCAAAAGTTGAAGTTTGCTGTGAAAAATTCCACTAGCAAATTTTACAATTTCTACTTCCTTTAACCGCTTCCCTTGCCAATATATATTTTTTTTTTTGCAAAAAATTAAGGTTTTTTTTATTATTAACAAATACAAGGAAATTAAACAAAACATAATACACAAGTTTTAAGTTGAAATTGAAATTTTTTTATGTGTTAAAAAAACATTTAATTTATCATCAGTTTACTATCCCGATATTATCGCGAGCAAATGGAAAAAGTTAAGTATTAGTCGTTGTACGATAGTTTTTAAAAGAGACAACACAGATTGATACTTTCCAAACACCAGTGAAGTGGTACGCATTTTTTTTAAACTCTTTTTTTTCTATGCAAATTCAGCAACCATCATATATACGATCGCACAAAACACGTTTGCAGTCCCACAATCCAACAGCAAAACAAAACTTGGCAAGTTTTATTTTTATTTATTTTATTTATTTATTTTTTTGCTTCTCGCCGAGTGAAAACGTGATAAAACAAAATGTACTGACAAATTCTGTTACGCCCAAGTTTTCTAGGGATAATAAATATTTGCAAAATATATACATCCGAGTTAACTCGGGATTATCAGGGAAGCAGTTTAACAGTTACAAAAAGACAAGTTACAAAAGTTAATAAAGTTACAAAAAGCTAATAAACATGTCTCGTTTTTTAAGAAAAGAAAAGAAAGCCCTGAAAAATCTTGTGCAAGCTGCGTAGAGAAAAAACGATTTTTGTGTGTTAAAAAACGTATAACGTTGGACTTTTTAAAAAAGGGTCTTGTAAAATCCGGAATAATTTCACATTATTGGTTTAGGTAATTTTCATGGGCTAGCAGAAAATGCATAGGAAGTGGGATAATGTGCAAAACCCACAAAGTAAAACAGGGTTCCACTATATAAAACTACTATATATAATCATTTTTAAAGCAATTGTAACTTGCCTCAAGTCAGAAATATTTCTTTTTCACTGCTACTGTTATGTTTGATTTTGAAAAGTTTCTCTAAATAGTATTTTACTGTTAAATGTAATTGTTAAATTAGAAATAATTCCTATTTTATATTTTAGCTTATTTAAATTTTTTTTTATCTCATTTAGTCTTAATTTTTTTAAATTTGTCTATGAGACATATTTTCTCTATTCAAAGTATGAAACTAATTTACAAATTCAGAAAAAGACAAATCTGAAATTATTGGTGATTTAATTATTTTAGATTTTTATAATTTTGATTTAATTTAAGATATTTATCCTAAAGAACTAAATTTATTTCAGATGAAAATTGCGCTTATTTATTATTTTTTTTTGGATCTTGATATGAAAATTCACTACAAAATTTTTTTATCGGATTATACGATAAAAGCAGAGATTTTAAGTTTAATGTTATTATTGTAATGTATTTTAATTCCAACTTATATTTTAATATTTTTAAGAATATTTTAATTGGTAAAAAACTATTAGGTTTAAATTTATTTATAATAAGAAAACAGATTTTCTTTCAGCTATCGAGAATTCCAAGATTACATTAGAGAATAATAATTTTTCTTTTAATTACTGTAATTGTAATATTTTGATTCAAAATATTTTAAAGACGTTCGAATATTTTGGCTGATATTGAACCCCGTATAAATCGGCCCATGCGATGAAATTTAGGATTTTCTTTTGTTCCTGAAGCATATAGGTGGCAGCACTTTTTTAGAAATTTTAATCATTATATGTTTCTTCCCCCCCCCCCAAGATTTTTAAAAGGGGTCAGAACTTGTTTTATTTCTGAAATTTTCTTAATTATTTGGTTATTCTAACTGTAACTTTATCTTTATTATGTGGGCATATCATTATTAAGTCTTACTCTATCTACTTTTAAATTGTGTTTGTTATTAGTTTTTCTTTGCATTTCAATTTTTCTAATTGCTTTTTCTTATTTGCTTATCCATTATGGGGCTTCGGGGCACAGTCAGTTTTTGGCATTACCACTGACAACAGAAAGGCTCCTGTGTGATGGCAGGCAGCGTGTCCTTTGAAGAAGTGTTGTTCTGCTAACACGCATATCTTATCTTTGTTTTCTGTTTCAATAGTATCTGACTTTTTACATATTTTGTCTATCGTAATATTTTATGATAAGCTAGTTTCCAAATATGTGGTGACTAAAATATTGTCATATTTCAGTTGTTCATGGCTGTATTGTTGCTACTCTAAAATTGTATTTACCTGATGGGAAGGAAGCCAAAGCCAGGTAATATATAGGAAAATATTTGTAGCTTTTTGCATGAGTACTTTTGCCTTGTTGCTGAACTTGATTCATTGTGTGTATCTTTCTTAATTAGTTTCATATTATTATCAATATATTTTCAGCCCTACGACTACAGTTGTACCGCTATGTCCGGAAACAGCAGTTTCTTCTCAAGAACTCTATCAGCTGTCTCAGTACCTTCAAGTAAAACTTTCTTTTCAAATCTATTTATGGTTTTTTATGGAATTGTTTTTCTTCTTTTAACGATGGTTGGGTTGAGTTGATTTTTTCAAAGAAATTTATTTATGCCAGATATCTTCCCTTCAAATTGCATCATTAGGTATTAGGAAATCATGTACATTGTTAAAATAAAACATACGTGAATTGTGGTGTTATAGAAAGTAATGTCTCATTTGCGCACAACAACACCCACTTAATTGCCTTTGGTTATATCTACTACAGGGATTTCCTATTTTAAGCATTTTTGCTTTTTACCCTCAGATATTAATTTTAATTTTATATTAATTTATAATAATTTATGTAATTTAATTTTTCCAAAAATTTTAGTTTTTAAAGTTTACTAAAAATTTTAGTTTTCCAAAAATTCAGCTCTTTTAAATGAAATAATCTTTTTAATTCTGATGTTTGAAGATACAAATAAAATTAGGGTGTCACAATTGCCTGTAATATGTGCTAGTTTATCAATCGAAAGTCAAATCTACCCAAGTGTGCAGTTGTTGATGCATTATTGGTAAAACAACATCTTGTGTGTGGGCTCACAACTCGAGATTGTATGTTACATCAATCAATCGCTAATACTTTTATAAAAACATCTAAAATAATTATATATCATTTTCAAACTATTGGTGACTAATTTTGCTGATGGTTGGATTTTTATAAAGAAATTAATGTTGCTGAGTTAACGATTTGAAAAAAGTATAGTTATCAAATTCATATTAAAACTTGGAAAACCTAATACAAATGACTGAAAAAAACATCAATAATTTTTGAAAAATTGATAGTGAACAACATAGATTTCTAAAGAAACAGTCACAAATATTTAAGTTTATAAAAAAAAAGTGTAAATGGCCATGAAAACAAAGTATATATAATCAGGATTTCTAAGTATTAAAGATTGTTTACTCAAATCATTACCCACCTCATATTAATGTTATATTAAATATATCTAAGTTTGAAAAGCAATGTATAAAAACAATATATTGCTGCAGAAAAAAATTATTTAAAAAAAAAACTGTGAATTAATTATGAAATCTCAATGTGCAAAAAACTGATTACCCATATACAAAATTTGTGTGTTACCATAATATTGTACAAAAATATTATAATTTAAGAAATCACACTTTTGCAAGAAAATCGATGCAAAAATACCTTTTTGCATTGATTTTCTGTTTAAGCACCCAAATGGAAGCTTTAACAGGAGAATAGATTTCATTTTGAAAATGGTTTTATTTTTCACAAACCATATTTTTAATATTTTCCATATTTTCAAATCATATTTTTAATAAATGTCTCAATTACTGATAATATTGAAAAATTTAATGAAAAAGTTTCTACTTTAAGGAAAATATTCCTTGGTTAAAAATAAAGCTTACATCATTTTTTATTTACCAAGCCACTATTAGTTACTTTTGTATTGCTTCTATTTATTTGTTTGCATTGTATGAACAATAAACCGAATTTTTAATTTTTCTGTTATAAAATGAGTTACATACTTTTATTTTGTTTCAGAATCAGTTTTTATATGACTAATTTTATGAAAATTTGTGTAAATTAATTTTATAATTAAATGTCGCTTATTTCTCTTTTGTTGTTAATTGTATAGTACAAAGCTGAAACATTAATCAAAACGTCGTTTTTTTTTCATTTGGTTTGTTATTCCTTTTTATTTATCATTGAATTTCAGCTTTTTTTAAAAAATTTCTTTTTCTGCCATTCTTATCTCAGCCAGGGTGCGTAATCTTTTTAAAAATTGCTTAAAAGTGTTTCTTTTTTATTTACATTTTTTAAAAGCCCTTAAAGGAGCTTTTTTTTATTCAGGATGTGAAAAGGGCTTAATTTTCTATCTTTGAAAGAGAGATTTTTTCTTTGCCTTGTCGATTGTCCATCTAAACTACAAAAAATTCATGATTTTTACAATTTTTTTTGCAACAATTATTAGAAACTAGTTTTTTTTATTTTTTTTTATCATGATTATGTAAAGTTTTAGGAAATATTTTTGAATTTTACTGATTTTATGTTTATAAATTAAGAACTTAAAATGATAGGAAAAAAATAATTACTGCGCAGGTCCTAATTATGAATTTTTTTTAATTTTTTGGAAAGTGATTGAAAATATATTTATTTAGTGCTTCAAAAGTACTTAAAAGGTGCTTATTTTTTGTGAAAAATCTGGCTACACACCCTATCTGCTGATATCAAGTAATATTTATTGCGTAAAATTATACCATATACAAATGTAAATTTAAAGTATGTTATAATTGTTAGTTATTTAAACACTAACTATAAAACTACTAGTGAACTGAGAAATGACATTTTTATGAATCTTTTAACTGAAAAATCAAATCAAAAACTTACATATTTAAAAGTTTTTCTCTATCTATATATAATTCAACCATCATCAATTTTTTTTCTTTTTGCTGACTGTACAAATGCTGTATTTAGCAGACGTCAGGGAGATGCTATTTGATATACAGCCGAATCTGCCCCTGACTAATATTTCATTCGGATTAATAGTATATTTTGTACACTAAAAGTATACTAAAACACTAAAAGTAAAAGTACACTAAAAGTATATTTTGAATGTGCTTAATATACAATTTGTGTGTTAAATATAGGAGTGAAGTATTTATTAGGTTCAAATATAGTATAAAATCTTAACGTGCAATGTGTACACCTCTGAATGCCTTGCAGAGTTTTGTGGACTGTATAGTCTAGATATTTTGTAGTGTTCTTTGAAGTTTGTGTATAACAAGATATTTTACAAAACAGGCTCAGCTTATTCTCCTGTCTTTATTTTCAGGAAGCTCTTCACAGGGAACAAATTCTTGAGAATAAACTCGGAACTTTAAGCAGAGTTGTGGCAAATACACAGGATGAATCCGATATTGGCTGGAAGGTTTGTTTTATTTGATTCATACTCCTTTCTACTTGCATTCTACAGATATCACTGACATCAAATCACATAGGAAACGTTATTTTGAAACTAAAATGGTATTTATTTTTTAGGATTTTAATTATCATTGTTTCATTTTTGGTGTTTCATCAAATTATAGCTTTAAAAACATCACCCAAATGGTTTATCTTTTGTCAATATTTTTTAAGTTCATTCAGGCACAGAAACACCTTGGAATTATTCCAATTTTCAAAAAAAATTAATGACAACATTTGATTATATTTCTGAATGCAGGGTGAAAGAAAATTATCTGATATAAAAAAGAGAGAGAGAGAGAGAGAACTATTGTAAATAAATGATCTATATAAAGGAAGTTAATAATAAGGGTTCGTAAAAGTGGGATTCTACACTGTCTACCAATAAGTATTTGAACTCCCGTTCACATCAGTAAAAGTAGAATAACAGTCTTAATTTCAATAATTGATCATTTTATAAGTCTAGCTTAATTATTAAAATGAAATCTGAGTTCGTAAGTACCGTGAATGTTTTTTGTTATCATTTTATAACTGTCGTTGAACAGCGGACCCAATTTTGAGATTACGACTACTTATATTCAACACCGTAGCCTTGTAATTTCAACACAATCCAGAAGAAAAAGTCACTCCTGGATCAAGTATTTTATTTTATAACCGTCGTTGAACAGCCGACCCAATTTTTATGGGAACATGGTGGATGTGCGACTCTCGAAAGATTTAACGTGAATCAGTCACCATTTACTACACCGAGATCTTCGGCTGGCTGGGATTAAACCTACGAACTCTTGGACATAGGTCCACTACAAATATTGGGGAAACAGGGAATTGTCAAGGAATGTGACGCCTTATCAAATTGGGGGATTCCACTCTTCTGTTTTCAACCGTAATTTGCGCTTGCGCAATGGAAGATTAAAAGGAAAAAAATACGATTTTTTTACGGACTGACATTCTTTAAGTGTATCCTCCAGATTATATTATTGTTAAGCCTTTCTGGGGTGTTGTTAATTGGATGTCTGAGTTATGACCTTGGAACTTCGGACTTGAGATTATTAACATGTTAGGTTTTTTTTTAAAATAATCCACTTTACACAATTACACTTTCTCTCAATTTTTGTTATTCATGATTTATCATGACAAATTATTGTTTTAGAATTTAGGATCATGCATTAATAATTAGGAACAAAACTTTTTTAATCATCTGCTATGTTTATTTATTTGATGTCTATTAAAGAAGCAATATTTTTTAATTGATTTAATTCTGATTCCGTAGATATGCCGTACCATTTGCAAGTTTTGCCTGATGTTGATTCACATCTGCTTTGGTTAAAAATTGGCTGCTTTTAAAACTAAAAACAGAAGATAGTTTTTACTTTAACATACAGTTATTTATCACTAAAAGCAAACTATCATTTCATGAAGTATATTGCTGTTTTCTCTTTTCAGTAGTGATAAATTTCTTATTCTACCATCTTTTGAGTTTTTATTTTTATGGCTGGCAATAAATTTCATACTCAATAAATTAATTCTACTTATTCATGCGTTTTATGATGTTTTTTCTTTTTTAATTTCAATTGTTCTCATTATATCCTGCCTTGTCCATGTTTTTAATATTTATACTAGTGCCTCTTTTAATTATCGACTTCAACAAATATAAATCTTAGTTGAATAACATCAACTAACTTTAATATTTGTTTATTTTTCTGTTGGTTTGGAATTCATTATTAAAGTAAGTCTTTTTTATATTAATTTCGTTGTAATACCATTGTAATTTATATCTTCTATCTATTCATCGATCTCATTTATGATTCAATAGAAAATTGTATCATATTGCATTTTATAGGTTTTTTTCCTTTTTTTTCTCCTGCTCTTAAAAAGTTTTGTCAATTGTTTAAATATGATTTGATTTCAATTAAATTCAAATTATTTGTATAATGTTTTCATTAATTCAGTTTTTTTTTAATACAGTTTTTAGGATCACTTAGCTGTTGAAAAGTTGATGTTTTATTTTATTGATTAATAAGTTCTACTTTTATTTTTCGTCTTCTTGCAGCTTTGTTTCATGTTTCAGGAAATTTTATTTACTTTACAGATAAGAATTAAAAATATTTTTTTATTGTGGATTTATTTATTTTTACTTGTCTGTTGATAAAAAGCATTATTTTTCAATTATTCATTTTATTCATGGTGCGCAGCATTTTTAAAAAGTGCTTAATATGGTTATTTTCAATTTTCGTTTTTTAAAAGCTCTCAATGGTGCTTTTTTATTGGGTGTTTTTAGAATGTGCTCGATATTCCTTTTTCGAAAAAGAGTTTTTTTCTTTACCATGTCGATTTTCGCCTCGTATTATGCAAAAGCGTGGTTTTCACATTGTTCTATTCAACGTTTTCACAATTCTTTCTACCGAAATCCATTTCAACCTATCATCGATCCATAGTGTGTTAAAGCGGCAATCATTTCACATGTTTTATAAATTCTTGCTAGTCCACATGTGTGTCTACTAAGCTCAGTTCGGTGAGATTCTAGCACTCTCGTGTGTAACTCTGCTGCACTTTGCTAAATATTCTCAATTTAAGGCTCCATTTTCCACCCTCATTTTTCAAACCGAACAATCTCTTGATGGTGGCTAAAATAATCAAGAAAAGAGTTCTTTGTCAGAAACCAGTTATTTTATCATGATCACATAAAGCCTTTGAAAATTATTTTACATTTTGTTAATACATACAGTGCTCAATAATATTTTAATGCTTAAAAAATACTTAAAAGGTGCTTATTTTTTGTTGAAAGATTTGACTATGCACCCTGTTATTTGACTTAATCTAATAAATATGGACTCATTTTATTTATATATGGATCGTTTATATATTTGTTACAGGGTTCCCACTCTCCTTAAAAACTGCTTAATTTTTATCTTGGAACATAAGGGCCCTTAAAAGTATTTAATTTTGGTATAAGGCTTTTAAAAGTGCTTTATTTTTAGCATCACTGTAGTTGACAGGAAAAATTTTTCAGTCTTGCAAAAATATTTAAAACACAAAGTTGTTCTTTTATTACCTAGAATGTGACCATGCCTCCAGAGTAGAGCATTTTAGAGAGACTAGAAGGAATGTGTGCGAGGGGGGCTACAGGCAAGAAAGCATGTTCTTTCATTAATATATTCTTTTGACTAGAATGATATTCTATGAGGAGAATGAATCAATAAAAATTATATTGTGCAGACTAGGGGGATACTGCACATGGAAGAGATTATGCCATTTTTGTGCAGGGGGTGGGCAGTTAGTTCTAAATAGAAGACCCACATTAATCGTTGAAATCGTTGAATTCAAGAAATTTGGTTCTATTGGTAGCACACGTGCTTATAGGAACAAAATAAAGCCCTAAGTTAAGAAGTATCAGTAAAATTTTTGAACTAGAATCCATTACGAAAATTAAACAGATTGTTACATAAAAATTTAAATCTACTCAATTTCAAAAAAGTCCTTAATTTTTTCAAAAAAAAGTCCTTAAAAGTGCTTAGTTTTTGCTTTGTTAAAAGAGTGGGAACCCTGTGTTAGCTTATGTAAGCAATTCATATTTAATTAAGTTAAACTAATTTATATTAAAAAATTAGTATCACTCAATTAAGTTTTACAATCTTATTGGTGCTTATCTTTCTCATAATTAATTTTTAATCAATGGTAATATGTTGGGTTTTAATTGTTTATTGCATTTTTGTTTTCAAAAATGTTCTTTAGTTGATCAAATGCGATTTAACTTTAATTATTCACTGATTATTTATATATATNTGGTCCTACATGTTTTTAGCAGGTATATATATATATATATATATATATATTGCCCAGTAAATTTCTTTAGTCTTATTTTTCATTTCAGTCAAGTTTTTACTTCTGGCAATTTATTATTTGATGACATCATCTGATTTTTTTAAATAAAAATAATTTATTAATGCTTTTTATTGATGATTTTATTAACATTTTTATTAAATATAAATTTTGGTGAATTTTTGTTTATTTTGAGTTTTTATTTATTTATTTTTTTAAATTTCGGAGTTTTTACGCAAATTCACATAGGAAAACTGAAAAAGTGAAGCAAAAAATCTCTTAATTTTGCATATAAACCCTGAGAATTATATACTTACTCAGGGTTGCCACTCCACAGAGAGAATAGGTAAAACCTGAAAAATACAGGGAATTTAAAAATCACCTAAAATAACAGGAAATTTGAGTTTTTCTTTACAAACTGAGAAAATGCAGGGAATTTTGTTTTTTATTTTTGTCTTTTAAATAATGATGACCACTCAAAGCGACTATGGCCACTATGTGATATTTAAGGATGATATTTCAACTATACTAAACTATCTAATTTGCTTATAGCTTTATTTAAGTATATTCTGCTGTTCTTTTTTTTTCTATTTTCCTCTAAGTTTTTCCCACAATTAAAACATCTTTTAAAAAATTGTAACATCTCAAAGTGCAATTTATGGGATATTTATATATAATATTTCAGCTTTATTAAATTATTTCATTTACTATAGCATTATTATTATGTTCAGCTGTTCCTTTTTCCAGCTATTATAACTTAGCCCAATATTCTTCATACAAGAGAGTACAGTGATTCTCTTATTATATCTTGTGCATAATACGTACAGGGAATATTTTATGAAGATTTGAGTGGCTACCCTACTACTACACTATTTTGAAGTACATCCTACTATGTGGCATTTTTTTTTTTACCCTCTAATCATTGAATCTTCTGGTATAGAAATTTTCTTGCTACACTTCCATTCATTAACGTGAAGAAACCACTTTTTTGATACATCTGAAAGCTTAAAAAGAGTGGGGGGGGGGCTAACTCTCAGAAGGTTAAAGATCAGACAAGAAGACAAAATTAGCTGTTATGTTGCAAGATCTGCCATGGAATGAGATGGGTGTTAACCGAATGAACCGGCCCGTCTAGACCCGAACCTTATCCAGAACATCCTGTTTGAATGGAATCACCGAACAAAGAGTATTACAATGGTTACTGACATCTGTCAGCAGAAATCTGTCTAGGTTTTACCTATTTTGTGAAACCTATTTTGCGAAAATTAAAACTTATATTAAAAAATCAACACAAAAATATGGATTTATTGTTTCTTGAGGGATACAAAAATAAAATTTTAAGAAAAAGTATTTCGAGAAACTACCGTTTTTCCTAATTTGGCTTGGACAGAACCTGGTCTGTAAGTACTTCGAACCCCTGTAATTGAAAAGAAAAGCAAAATTGATTCATTTTCAATAATTGGCTAAGAAACTAACAGACTAAACCCTTTGTGGCATGCTCTCTCCACGTCCTCGTTTGTTGGTATTATTTTCCTTCTCAGATGTTCTTTCATCAATTTCATGTGGTTGTTTCATCCCTAAATGAGGCAATCCTACTCATGCTAGAGTTTTCCTGGACAGTCCATTTAGTTAAAGTTATTGACGCTATAAAAACCTCTCAACGTGTCCTGAAAGGGCCTGTAAAAACTTCCATCCAAAATAGTGCATTATTTAGACCAATGCCTGTGTTAGTTATGATATATATGCCTAAAAAGTAGTGATGGAATTTCAGTTCTTAAATATTCAATTTAACTGTTCATCTCATAATATGCTTGGATCAAGTTCTTTTCAATGATTAATTGAAAGAAATATAAGTTGAAAAATTTTGTTAGTTTTAAGTGTTTGGCACCATTTTTTTAGGCACACATGTCATGTAAGCATGGGTATCCAATAAATAGTCATTTTATTCCTGTCATTTTATAAAATAGTTATTATTTAGAACTAGAGAATGTTATACTGCAAAAGAAAATTCTCCTTCATTACTAATTTAAAAGAAAGAAAAAGTTCAGGCAAACCTAGAGTAAGTCATAAAGTTTCAATTGCTGAAAAAAATACTTCAAAATATTAAAATACAAACAAATCATTAGAAGAGAAATTCTCCTTTGTGTAATCCTAAATTATCATCTCATTATTTATTTTTATTTGAATATTTTAAAATTTCCTTTTCCTTATTTGAAACTTCATGGCTTACTCTAGGTTTGTCTGAACTCACTTTTTCTTTCTTTTAAATAAGTTATGGAGGAGAATTTGGGAGGAAAAGTTTCTCCCCCGGTATGGTGTCCTCTTAAACTCTATTCGATATATTTCTTTGTGCATATATATATAACTGTATTATATTATTATTTTGTGCTTAGGCTGTCTAAATGTACTGCAATAAACATGTACTTATTAAGCATAAAACAATCTTTTTAAATTAAAAAGTTAAGTAAGAACTTTGTTCAAATACTTGATTTATTGAAAGTAGCAATAATAATTCGTCCTCTCCCTGCCCATGGCAAACTGTACCTCAATGAAAGCCCTGTGGCAGAATTTTTTCGGGCTTTCTGCGACTTCTCTAATACCTTTCTGCAAGATATTTAACAATAACAGATATACATGTTACTAATTTAAAGAAATAGAAGCGTTAACTGCAAAAAAATTAAATACATAAATAAATAAAATTCGGATCAAATAAAAATATTTTTTTAATTGAATGTGATTTTTATAATCTGATATTATGGGCGATGTTCTTGCATTTTGTAGAAAGATAACACTAATTATTTTTCTTTTTAGATAACACACTAATTATTTCCTTTTTTGCATTTTATAATTCATCATCACATTAAAAAAGTAAAATCTTAAAATCTGTAACAGTAATTGTCAAAAAAAAGATAGACGACGAAATCACGTGAACGGGACTCTTCAAAAAGGCGTTACTAAATGAGTGTTTTATTTCGAGATTTAGTAGTTGTGGTAAATAATATCGAATTTTAAGAGCTATGTTGAAATCTGTAGTAATAACTGCATGAAAAATTTCCACAGAAAAGAAAGCCAGAAATTTTTTACTTCATTAATATTTATTTTTCATTATTCTCCAATAAGAATAGAAAAGTCACAAGCATTTTTTTCCCACTCTGATTTGTGGGAAAGGCATCTTTTGAATATAATTCTGAAGAAAGGATAAAATCTGAAAATTTCTGCAGAAAAGAAAAGCAACATTTTTTGTTTCCCAAAGGAAAAATCCTTCTGCGAGAACTCAGTAACTTTCTGCAACAATGTCGCTGTGTCACCACGATTCTGCCACGGGGAATGAAAAATTTAGTGTGCTTTTATATTTGTTTTTAAATTCAGCCTTCTATATGAATACAGAGTTAATTTCATTTCAGGCACTGATTGAAGAAGACAGACTTTTAAGTCGAATAGAGACCTTGGAAAGCCAACTTCAAACTTGTGGAGGAAAAGTATTTATTTCAACAATTTTAATTATTGTAATGTGGGTATTAATAGGATGTTTCTTATTGAAGTCCTGCAGGACTTATTATTAAATACTTTTCTCATGAGTGAGTTGAGTTGTTTTTACAGATCTTAATTTAGAGTGTCTGTTGACCACAAAATGATGATGATGCCATTAAAATGACTTAAAGTGAGTGCTTCTTACAAAAACCAGAGTCATGAAGGATTTTCGACCAGATGCATAGGTGCCCCTCTTTAGTCCTGGGGACCGAAATCAGTAGATTAAGTTTCATAAATTTATCTCTCTTTTTTCCTTTCGTTTTCTTTTTTTAATAGTAAAATTTCTGTTTTTCCTTAAAAACGTAAAAATTTTTTTACATTAAATGAAAGTAAAAATTATATTTTAAAGTGAACATTGTTGATTTTCACAATTATTGTGAAAAAATCAAGTAATGATCTAGCTCATTATTGAAAAAATGAGATTTAACTTCAACGCCTGCTTGCTTAAACAGAATTTGTACTATTGTTGTACCTAAATTTTCTTGTTTTTATTTTTCCATAATGTTTTGAAATGTTGGACTAAGTTAAATTGAGATTATTATTATTATTTTTTTTAAAAATAAATTATAGAGATAGGACAAAAAATAAATAATGCTAAAGTCAAAAATAAGTAGAGATATGTATAGCTTTAAGAGAGAATTAGTTGTTTATTATTCAGTGATTGATGTAAAAAATAAATTAATGAAGTGAAGAAAAAAACTTGATTTAATACATAATTTCTCTTCATAGACAGGCACATTTTAGAGTGGGTGAGTTTCTGAAAATTCTAGTAAACAACTCTAGATTGTGTTAATTGATCAAAAAAAAATAAGTTCAATCTTAAATTATTTTTAGAGTGGCACCCATAAAGATGGAAATGTGGTAATCTTTGTGTTTTCTTAACTTTCCTGAAAAGCAATCAATTTAATACTAAGTCATAACCAGTGCCTTAGCCATTGCAGCTCTTACTGATATACAAATTAGGCAATGCGAGGATAAGTGATAATAAATTCCAAATATTGTTTGCCTGTCTTATATCTTGAATATGTATTTGCACTATCATAATACATATGTATAAAAAAATGTAAAGAACTTTTTCCCCTTGATAACTTGGTAATATATAGGATGAAAATGTTATATGCCTAAAGTTAAAGTTATTAATGTTAAGAATTTAGTAATATATTCTTTAATTTTATTTTAGCAATTATTATCGTATACTTATTTATCTGCTTTTAGTGTAGTCTGAAACTCATGTGATTACAAAAAAGACATAAAAACAAGGAATCAAATTTATCATTTCTGCTCCTAGTAAATTATTAATTACATAATCATATAAAACCAAATTTGTTAAAATTGTGTTTCCTAAAAGCATCTAATAAAAATTTTTAAAAAAAAGAAAAATCTTATTTAAGTCAAAATACTTTAATTTTAGAAGGAAAAATGAATTAAACTAAACTCAGTGACGCGACAGCCCATAGAGGGCCAAGGCCTACTGTGCAAAAGCAGATGTTCCGATTAGGTGGTCAGCCGAACGCGAAACCCCCAGTGTTTAGTTCCCAAGCAGGCTTGGTACTCATTTATCAACTCACTGAAGGAATGACAGGCTGAGTCAACCTTCCCCGGCCTGAGGATCGACCCCAGGACCTGTGGCACAAGAGCGCGAAACGCTACCACTCAGCCTCTGGGTATCAAGGAAAAATAAAGGAAACAGATTTTTTATTGATTTAAGTCACTCTTTTTTTAATGCAACCAACTTGTAATCTGCAGAACATACTGTAACTTGTAATCAACTTGTAATCTGCATTGTAGTTTTTCGGAAGTGAAATCTTTTTGAATTTTAGTTTTATCATCAAGTCTCTTTTTTTTTTCCTTTATAAAAATATTTATTGTCGAACATGTTTTCTTCTCGTGTGTATTGTTTAAAAATTAAAAGACTTATACTATTCAGTGTTCGAAATTAACGGTAGTTCGTTGGTCAGAGACCACTAAAATTTGGCCTAGACCGCCATAAAATAATTATCAGTGGCATCCGAACTAGTGATTCATGTAACAGAATAGTATGTCGATTTGGTGCTATGATTTTCAGGGACTTATTTGTGACAGTGTTTTCCTAATTTTTTTTTTTTTAATGATGGACTCTTGGGGTCTATTTTCCGTTAGCCTCAGAATTGCTACTCTCTTATGGTTACCCAGTTTGCACCTGTGGCTGAGCCACGACAGTAGAGTAGCGTTGCCCACGTCATACAACCACAAACCCATTTATAGGGCAGGTTACAGTCACACAATCACACAGAAGAAAGGACATAAAACACAGAGAGAGAGAAAGTTGCGTCCATGCCTACGGTGGGATACAAACTCACAACCACTTGCCCTATAGTCCAGTACAGAAACCCCTAAACCAGTGTTTTCATCATTTAAGTAGCATATTTTAATTTGATTACTGCATTACACAATACTCCTTTTGTAAATTTAACTAAATTTTTAAAAATAAATTCAATAGAGACAAGTTAACAAACCAGCTAATATGTTGTAATATCTTTCAGTAACTGGTCCTGGATCAAATTATCTTAATTTCTTCTTCCTGCTATTGATTTAGTTCAATAATATCATTCTGCTACACTGTTATAATATACTGTAATCAACTCAGAAGAGATAGTGTTGGTTGAGGGTTATTTTGAAAGAATAAATTTTTTTGTTAAAATTTCAAATAACAATTATGAGTAAAAGAGAAAAGGATAATTTTTTCCCCCTAATTCACTTTCAGAATGTTACTGAAGAAAAACTGAAAGATGATGTTGTAAAATTGCAAGAGGATAAAGACAAATATCAACTAGCTGCAAAAGTGAGTGATTCTTACTAAATTCATTCATTCTTTCCTCCAGTGATGTTTTTCATTACCATCTACTATATAAATGAAACAGAATGTTTATATGTGTGCATGTACCGCATATAAATCCACAATTCTGAACCAATCTGCACCAAATTTTAAGTAAATACGTTCGAAGACACTGGACTTAACTGACTACCTTAAAACTGCCCAATAACTAGTTCACGCTACATCCCGAAGAATGAGTTTTCTATAAGATATGATAAATATTTTATAATAACGATTTGCTAGCTTTTATCTTTAATCATATGTTGTGTTTTCACAAGTAAAATCAATGTTAATAATTTAGCGGTGTATGGTGATAATGTCACAGAAGTCGTATTTTAAAACCGTGTGTTTCTTTTATTGATGCTTGCATGTTTAAAGTGTGTCTCGATAAGCTTAAATAAGGGAAAGTGCAAAAATTAATGAAACAAAATTTAAGTTATCTAAGTTATGGTAAATTCTGAATATCATAGTATAGTTAGTTGAAGTTCTAACTCAGTATAACTTCTAGCAAATCTGATATTACCAAGCTGCACCGGAATATGCAACAAATAATAAAAAAATAAAAGTTGTATAATCAGTGCCATCAATGTGTAAAAGGGTGATATTATGGTACTTGTCCGTTTTGGAAGGCAGTATAAAGTCTACTTCCATGGTACCTATTTTATTAAAAAATTTATAAGTATACTATTCCAAATCTATGCATACATATGTATATCACTGAAATTTATCGAAATGAATCAAATTAAAAGTAAAATAAGAAAAGATGCTAACCACATTTAATCAAGAACATGTTTTATAAAAATTGACATTTGTTAAATATAATATTTTATTCAAATCTCTTTACTAAATTAACTACAAATTAGCAGACAACTTAAAAAGAAACATTGTATTTCGTAATTGAAAAAGAAAAACGATGTTGAATTAAAATAGAGAAAAATCATGAATGAAATTTGTGTTACGCTTGCCTAAGTCAAGTTCCTTGTAATTTTACCAGAAATTTGCATTAATCGCTTCATTTAAATTTTTTTTTTGTATTTTATTAAATGAAAATAATACAAACTTTAGATTTCACAGTAGAAAAATATGTAGATTAATATGGTATATCAATCATATCTGCTATACTGTTCTATTTTTTATTATTACTTTTAATAATAAATTCTATTTTTTTGTTACAAAAGTATATAATTTTCAACTTCTTTTTGGTTGGGCTATCTAAAGTTTAATAAGTAGGTTTTTATTTCGTTACAAAAGATAGCTTTAACACACACACAGTTGAACCTCATTAACGCGAAACGGCTTAACGTGAAGTATCACTTTACATGAAACTTGTGTTTGGCCTCGTGAGTCAGCAATCAATTATTGTTGTATTTTGCAATGTTGAACATGAAATTTTCAAGCTTATTATCGCTTAACATGAAAGGAAACTGGATACAGCACAGATAATAAGTATGTAAATAAAATCCCAATCATTCATTTTGAGAAATGCTATTTCTATTTTCTTCCATTGTTAGAAGTAGGCAATGGGCAAATAAATAGTTAAAATAAAATAGTTTAATAAAGTAGTTAAAACTTTTAAGCTTATTTTAATTTTTTTTTGCTCATAATAGTATTGTTTGAATACATTAATATAGTACACAAAATGTAATAAAAGTACTTAATAAATTGTTTTCATGTTGTAACGGATAAGATGAAATTCGGATAACATCAAGTAACAATGATAGTCCTGCCGATTTTGTGTTGACGAGGTTCGACTGTATATATATATATTCAAAGTGTTTCACTGGAACTCTTAACATTAAATGAGTTATCTTGTTTTCCTTTTTCTCATTCTTGATATTATTTATTTAGGAATCTCTGAAAAAAGTTTTACAAGAAAAACTGGAAGCCATCAGGAAAATTCAAGATTTGGAAGTTTGTATTTTTTTTAAGCTTCATCACTTTTCCATGCATTCTTATTTTTTTACAAATGATTTTTCAATTCTAGAGTTTATAAATTATGTTTTTAATATCAATATTTTATTGCATTATGCTTAGCAATTTCTTGTTAAGAGTATTTATTTATTAGTTTTACTTATTTTCAAGAACTCTCTAAGCAATACTGAAAATGAATGCAGCCACTTAATGGATATAAATCAGAAAAAAGAACAAGAAATTGAACTCTTGCTGGATAAAGCTGCTGAAAATGAGAAAGAAATAGGAAATTTAACTAAAAAACTGGAAGTAAGTTGTTTGTTATTTAAGTTTAAGTAACTTTTCATCAAAATGAACTTAAAAGCCTGACTTCGGTTAAAGATATTAAATTCATTTTAGAACGCAAAAATAATATGCTAGACATTAAATTAGAATTCTTCATTATACTCTTCAAACCACTCCAGCACGTATCCAGCTTTGTAAATTTTTATAAAAATAAGTTAACTTCATTTATGCTAGTTTCGGTCTCTCGTAATGAGAAAATATACATCATTTGCTTCTGCAGTTCATTCCCATAAATAAAATTAAAATAACATTATATATTCTTTAACTACTCCATTTGAGAAAATTAGGACACTAAACATACCAACACTTTATCTATACCTATATCTACCATAGTCGGTCAAATGAACTTCATGTTTCTTAGTTAAATGTATGAAACATGAATGTTAGGAAGGAAATAAACTAAAAAAACTTTATTATAATTAAACAAAATTGTATATTGCCTATTTTGTATGTATTACGAACACAAAATAAGAATTTTTAATTCCTTGCTCAACACATTTTTTACATATACTGGGAGTTTCCATTGTACATTTTCCGCAAATATATTTCTTCCAATTATTGTTATTTCTATAATTCTTATAATTAATATTATTTCTTCTAAGAATTTGCAATGTCTTGATTGTTTCGACATTTTTCTGGGTAAAAACGATCAGTTAGTTAGAAATGAGGTAAATCTATCAAAATAAAATATAAACTACTTACCAAAACATTTAGTTTTTGTCACCTTTTCTTACACAAAAATGTCAATCAAAAAGTTTAGGTACTTTCTTGAAATTTGTATTCACAGTTATTCTGATTGAACTAACTACTCAACAGTCTTTGCAGAAATGTGCAACTCATCGAATGCAATACGCGAACACGCATTACGTCGTATTTTCTGATCCGATAACCTTATAAAGCAATAAATTGTTTTTCCCGGTCGAATGACTGGTTGTGGTAGAAATAGGTATGCCACAAGTATTATTCAAAACAAACAAAATACAGAAGAAGAAAAATAATAGAATATTAACTGTATATAATTGTTAGAAAAAGTCATGAAGTCAAATGTGCAAAAACAATTAGATGAAACGCAAAAGTTCTTAAACGGCCATTTGACCGGTTGTGGTATGTTTAGTGTTAATGTATTTTTCGAAAATAACTTAACAAATTTAAATGATAAAATGAGTGTTAAGAAAGTCATCTTAACACTGATCCAATTGCTTTGTCAGTTTTTTACACACAGAAGAATTTTTCCCAATTTAGAAATTTTTTTAACAATTATATAAGAACAAGGGCTCAGTTTCTATCCAAATAGCAATGCTATCGATCATAAGCATTCGAAATTGCTGTGACTGAGGGAATGCTAGGAATGTTTCAAACTTTTCGGCAGCCGAGATTGTCGCAAGAATATCATTATATCTGTATGTCAAGAAGACAAATAAAAGACAAAAGTTTCCTTACTAAACGATTTATTTTAAAAGCTGATAGACAAATATAATGTACTCTCGCAAACAGAGTAACAAATGAGCAATGAAAAGAAAATACAAAATAATCAGCTTCAACAGAAGCTTAAATACTCTTGTTTAACAGATCTGGGATGATATCATGATCCATGCATTTACAACCAACAGCAAATCAAAAGAAACCGGCCAAAGCCCCTCGTACCGTGACGTTACCGACGTAAGTTAAATGCATGAGATATTCCTCTTTGACAGAACTGACTAAGATCGAAACTTTACTTTTTTATTTTTTTTATTTTACAATCGATCAAAATAGAAAAGCCTTTTTAGCATTTATTTAGCTAACACTTTTTTCTAAATAAAAATGCCATTTATAGATCTAATTAACTTAATACATTGGAACAGGGGTCCCCAACCTTTTTGTACCTAAGAGCAAATACCAGAATATCGGTCGAATGGCGGGCACCATTTATTTTTTCAACATAAATTTATAGTTGATAGACATAGTAATAATACACACTACATATAGGGGAGAGTCGGGTAGTCCCGCCCACTTAAGGAGTATTGCTTATATTTCTGTATAATATTGAGTAATAATCAATATTTTTGTATGTTTCTATTGTTTTATCATCTAATTAAATAATGCAAAAAGAATAAACCAAAAAAAGAATAGTTTAACTTTAAAAAATAGAAATTGAAAAATTTGACTACTGTATTCAACATATTTTCAAAACTATTGTTTACCATGTTACCAGCTGCATAAATACTTGAAACTTTGAAAATAATCTTTTTTTAATATAACAATTAATGTCCGATGACCCATTGACCTGAAAAAATATTCTATACATATGAAATTGACAGTAGGCGGGGGTACCCGACACTCCCCTAATGCACAAAAAATTTAATTTTAAAAATTAATTTACCATATGAATATAAATAGTATTAATATCCTTGTGTAAAATAAATTATTGCTAAATTGCTTTCAAAACATACGAAGCATAAAAATTATTTATAAAATATATGAAATGCAGTTAATGTGATCTTAATTGCATTTCACTGGCCAGCGCTTCATAATTGGGAGAATATGATGAAATTCCTGCTCGCAGGCAATCGCCAAGGTGTTCATCTGTAAGTCGGGATCTATATTTTGATTTTATGATATTCATTATCGAAAACAATGATTCAAACAAGTATGTGGAACCTAAAAACGACTTTATTTTATATGCTGTTGTGACAATCGAAACCACCTGCCAACGCCATCTATGGGACTCAAATAGAGCAGTTCTAAGTTAGTTTAACTCCATCTCTCGAACCGAAAACATGTAGGCTTCGAATTCCCCCCACTTAAGTTTCGTTTTCTCCCTGATTATATTAATGCTTTATTTTGTGTTGTTTTGTGACTTGTAACTTACAATTTTATGTCCTTTGTCCCATTAAAATTCCTTAATCACAACGTTGATTAGAATTCTTTAAGTCGCATGGCACCATACTGCTCCTTCTAAGAATGGAATTTATTTCTGTCAACTATATTACAGAATTTCTCATCTGATATAATAGTTCGGAGGATAATGTCATCCTGAAGATCCAAAACTTCTATCTCCCCTTCTTCTCGCCTTGCTTGAAGAAATTCTGAAATGTATGTTGTTATTACGGTATGTTTATTTGGTTGGTAAAAGGATTTACAAAAAAGGTGATCAATGGCACGATTATATTAAATTGTTGAAAGCGCTTTTTAAATTGATCTTGGAGCGTTGATAAGCCAATTTCACTGTCACCTATCATTTTTTCATGTTTGGAAAATGCACAAGAGACTTCATTTTGAAATGTGATGTACACAAAAATAACTTATCTCTGAACGAGCCCCTGTCATTCTTGCTATATGTTTGTCCTTTCCCTGCAGCTCCAAGTTTAAATTATTTAGTTTTTCCGTTATGTTGGTTAGGAGAGATAAATCTGCGAGGCAAAGAAGATCTCTTAACTCTAAAAATATTTTATTTGAAATATAATTTTTTATTTCTTCAATTAAATGTAGAAATCTATCAAGTACTTTGCCTTTAGTAAGCCAGCGTACTTCAGTATGTATTTGCATAGCATTTTAAGGGAAAATGGAATTATTTTATCGTAGGGCGCAAGCAGCGGGCGCACCTAGATTGATCGACGGGCACCATGGTGCCCGCGGGCATAGGGCTGGAGACCTCTGCATTGGAACAAGTGTTGGTTTTTAAAGATGAAGGTTGAACTGTATATGTATTTCATTGTTTGTAGGTTTTTTATATTCGTAGGTAGTAAGAGTTGTGAATGAGGAAATAAGATTTCATAACTTTGAAAATTATTATAAAAACATTTATTTCAAATAATGCTTCAAACTTACGAGTTAATTTAATAAAGACATCTTCAAACTACCTATTGAACAAATAACTTATTCATTTTTCTGTAATAAAAATTGATATTTAAATCATTTTAGTCATTTCAAAGAGTTTCCCTAGTAAAAGTTACTGGATTTTCTCCCCTTTTGTATCAGCAACTACGCATGCTGTTATTAAATATGCATAAATTTCAAGCCGAAAGTGAGTCCTTCAAAATCATAGTTTTTGTCAGCAATATTTCCAGCCAAAATTATAATCTTCAGTTTTATTGTTTTTGTGAAAAATTGAAAATTATGTATCTATTAAAAATTAAATGTATGTATACTGGGTATTGATAAATATTCAATGCATCTTTAAAAAAAAAATTGTCATGATCATTATTTTTTTTTTTTAAAAATTCTCATTTTCAGGTAAAGAAAAATTTTTACAAGTGAAATAATGTTTCTTTACAGGAAATCGAAGAAAAGTATCAAAATCTTATAAATCAAACAGCAGAAGATAAAATCGTGCAGGAAACAAATGCTGAGGAAATGCGAAAAGGGGAACAATTGCTATCTACAAAAGTATGGAAAAGCTTTTTAATTAAGACTAATTTGATTGTAATATCTTTAGTTCCATGGTTTTTAGTTGTTTATTTTAGTTATTTTTTATTTAACTTGTTTATGATTGGTGTAGTTTGAAATTGTTTGTGCTAATATATCTTGATTGACTATACATTTATTTAAGAGCCAGTTTGCATTGGAAATCTGAAATTTTTTTTTTATCTTTCTTTTTTTTCCATGATGTTTTGAAAATTTCAATATTTTTTGTTCGATATTATAGCGACTAGTGATTTTTTACTTGCGCATTTTAATTAATAAACACTAGTGACATGCTTTATTTGTGCGATTTCATCATCAAACTAAGTAATTGTTTGAATTTTTTTAAAACATTTTTTGTTATGATTTAGAAAATCCCCCTGTGACAGAATTTTTTCGACCTATCTGCTACAAAACTCTCTAGCATTATAATTGTTCTGCAAGATACAGTTAATAATAATGAACATATATGTTACTAATTTAAAATATCAAAAGTGCTATGTTTATATGGAAAAAAAACTTCAAAATTTTTTTAATAGAACGTTTAATTATTTTTTATTTTATCATGAATGATATTCTCACATTTTGTTGGGGGGGAGGGGGGACTAGGAACGCACAAAATAGTTCCTTCTTCTCATTTTGTAAATAATCATATCAATAAACAAAAAAAAATTAAAAATTAGAAAATCTGTGGTAGTAATTGCATAAAAAAAAAGGGGAGGAAAGATTGACAACGAAATCACGCGATTCGGATTCCTCTAATACGTGTTTCAATTCGAGATTTGGTTGTTGTAATAAATAATATCATATAAAAATATTGGATTTAAAAACTATGGAGAAATCAATAGCAATAAATGCCGGAAATTCGATACAATTATTGCCTTAAAAAGTAAATGCTCAAATGCACAATTCGAATTTTCCATATTGTTTGAAATATATCGGGATGTGAAAATCAATATCAAAACTACCGAAAATACAATTGAAGCATTACATTGATTTATGATACTGTCGATGTAAATTGAGTGCATCAAAATGTGATTATCAAATTTTATGATTCAATCTAAATTTCAGTGGAAAAGAAAAGTAATTTTTTTCACTTTTCAAAAGAAAAATCTTTCTTCAAGAACTCTAAAGTTCTGCGACAATGTTGCCGTGGCGCTGTGATTCTGCCGTGGGGAGAAACTCGAATATTTTTAATTTGACATTGTTAAGACTTGCGCAAGTATCGAATGGCGCATTTTAAACTTCACTTTTAATGTGCTTTATTTTTAACAATTTTATTGTCAATCTACATTATTTCTCTGCTGTCAGTAAATGCGTGGGAAACCATTTTGATCTGCCTACTTAGGGTGCGCAGTATTGTTCCTCGTTAAACTGTTCTACTGTAAAGTGCTCAACTTTGCATGCAGGTTGTGGAGCTACCAAAGTGGAAGAGCCATCCCCTTTGCAGAGGATCAAATATGTTGTGATGGCATGTTTTTGGGCGATCCTCGGAGATGTTGCCAAGACCATCACCAATAGCCCTTTATGCAGGTCTATTGCGACCTAAATAAAATACCTACCAGTTATTTCTCAATTTCGACATTTTTAATACAATATTGTTATAACACGAGAAACTCGAATGTGTGTTATAACCCCCTTGTCACGGTTCTCCAGCTACCAGCTCCTTGGAGTCAAGCAAGGGAAAAAAATGCCAAATAAGGGAATCTTTTTTTCTTTCTTTTTCATGTATACCTCTGCGCCAAAAACGACCCTGCAATCGTCCACGCATTTTCACCTGTGGAACGATTCCACTTTCGATGCAGGGAAGAAGGGAAACATTTAGGATGGAGTTATTGAACTTAATATAAGAAAATGAAAGTTAAAAGAAATGCAAAATGAGATAAATAAAATTAAAAACGCGGTGCTCAAAAGAATAAAAAATTTTGCCCTTAATCAAATAAAAAAATTATACAACTTTTAGTTTTTATTTTTAAAAAGACATAGAAATATAACATTAGTTCATTGCTCTATTTTTAGATTAATGCTTAAACTTGATTTGTTCACTAATCAAGTTTTTCATCTGGTTTAAGGACAGCTAACAGATTTGTGATTTTTAATATATGCAGTACTCTTGAGTTATTTTAAGTAAAAAAAAAAATTAACAATAATTTTATCAAAATTTTAATAAGGAACAATTTAAGGGGTCCTTCTCATATCTAATATTTTTAGTGTGATTTGCCAATTCAAAAACTTTAATAAATTTTTTTAAATTTTATTTTAAAGTAATTGATATTAAGAATTTAATGATCACAGAATTATCTAAATTATGAATTGAAAGAAGATACTGTTTACTTTTGACAAAAATGTTTTTTTTTCCCTCAAAATGATTAAATTTTTTTTATAATTATTTGATTAAAGAAGTATTGAACTTAATTTTAATAAAATATTGTCACATTTTTTAATCAAAGATTATTTTTAAGTACATAATAAATTTCCCAGCTTTGAATGTTAAACACATTTGTATCTTTGTGGGGATTGTATTGAATTAACAGTTAAATAATCAATCAAAAGGTGAAGGAAATATAACATTTCATTAATTTACACGTGTAATTATGTATATATTATGTTTGCATTTTGTTTCTGTATAGTTCACATCCTTATCAGTGTTATTATGAAGAAGAAAAAAAATGTAATGTAAATTTTTTTATTTATTGTTAATTTGATAGAGATGGCACTTAGTACATAAAACAGAGATTTTCTGAGCTCCCAGAATTTTTGCATATTTGTTTTTTTCCTGCTTCATTGATTTTTACATTGATTTTAATAAATTTTACATAATCTATTATTGAATTTTTTTAAAAATCTGATTATTTAAATCATTGACTTTGCGATACATGTTAACCTTTTCGAGACAAGCGAGTCATACATGTATTCTTATGGAATCAGAAACAAGATGGAAAAAAATAAAAGCGGTAGCTTAAGTTTGGGCATGGCTAATTTGGCAGCCTTTTTTTGCTTTCACTTTAAATCTAATACATCCAATCTATGTTTGTTAAAAGTGTAACTATATAATTTCTAATTGAACTAAGTATTGGTGATTTAAATAAAGAAAATTACTATTATACCACCCACAAATAAACTGCTATTAAAAACAGTTTGACCACCAGTTTTATCTTTTTTACCGTGACTGTCGCCACCTGGCAATATATACTTTGGGCAGTATATACTTTGGGCAATATATACTTTGTCTTGTTACAATATGTCATTTGACTTCTAATTTACATTAAATTAATTGTGCATAAATTTTTTTTTATAGGTTTTAAAAAGAATTTTTGAAAAATAAATGTATAAACTTGCTTAATATTACCCAATATTTTATTACATTTTAAATTGCTAAATATTTTTCTTATTGTTTAATGTTATTTTGTTTAGTTGTTTTCTTTTATGTTGGTGTTTGAAACGATATTATCAATTCATTTACTATGAGAAAAAAAATTAGATTTTTATGTTCTATTAAAATAATTTTTATTGATTTGTGATAGAAGCTATTAGTTCAGCGCTATCAAAGTAATTTCCAGTTTATAGCTGCAGGCTATCTGTGTATAAAGGTTAAATTATCATGCATGTGCTGCTACAGCGTATTGGGTGCTCTCATTTTTTCTCGACCCTTGTGTGGGAATCCCGTGCATTTTTAAAATATGATTGTGATATCTGGGTGATTCACCTAAAATCTAACAATATCATATCCAAACAAAATTAGTTTGAAATAAAAAGTTGTTACTTTTTATAAAAATTTTTTTTAATTTTCTAAAAGTCACTCTCCCGACTTGGCCGAAGCTTTTCCCTAATCTAATTTAGTTTATTTAAAATTTTTGCACCCCAAAATGTCGATGATAAACAAAGTATTAGTGAACTATATATATATGAAGGTGTAAAATAATATATATATATTTAGTCTTGTACCTGCAGCACTTTATTCCCACCTTTCTGTGGGATTGATTGCTTTGAAGATCTGGATCACATGATGTTCTTATCATTGCTTTAAAGTTATAAACTGAGGTGTTTCTGTTGTTCTCCTGTACAACAGTCTTATTATNTCATAATAATCATTAAAATGTTTTTTTTTTTTTTTTTGTTTTTTTTTAAGTGTATAATATTGTGATGACAGAAGAACTTTTTTAAACCTATCTTAATCCATCTTAATGGCAGACTTTATATATATATTTTTAAAAAAATTTACACTCCTGGCATTTTCTGAACCAAATGATTGACCAGCATCATTGAAGTAGGTTTCCTTTATTTTTCTCTTAAATGCCTTATAAAGAGTAAGTATTAATTGCTTCAAAGCGCTTTTAGTTTTTAAGAATTTGTGATTTTAAAATGTCTGGTTTTTTAGAGCGTCACCTACTTCTATAAATGCTTCCTGGCAATAAGTGTAACTTGGAAATATGGAGATTTGGTGCTTATTTAAGATAATTATAACTTTTAACAATGTTTTTCATGGGTGTGACCAGAAATTAAATGTACATTTGATTCTCAATTTATTTTGATCAATAAAGTAATTTTTAATATTGTTTTTTCTCTCTTCATTTAGAGTTCATTCATTAGAAACCTAAAGTACTCAAAAGTTTTATTATATTTATCAATTTTTTTTTAAAACGCCTGAAATATCTTTTTACATAATGTAAATTTTTTTAAAAAGATAATTTTATTCAGATTTTTTGTAAGAAAGAAATCTGTATAAAAAATTATTCCTGGTTATATTGAATATGTTGTAGAACAGCCAATTTCTTCTTCTTTTTTGTATTGTACTTTATCAGTAAAAATAGTTGTTCTTCCTTCTAGATTGAAGCTCTGAAAGCTGAGAATGACTTTGCAAAGGAACAATTAAATGCGATGAAAGGTAAAATTTTAAATCTTACCAATTTTTTAAAGAATAGTGTTTATTTATCAATCATTAAAAATTTTGACTAGATGATAATGATTTTAATAAATTATTATTATCTTTCATTTTTTTCGATAAATTTCACTTGTCAAAGTCTGCATCATTATAAAAGAAAGTCTAAAAAACGCCATCCATTTTTCTGATTGACCTGAGCTCTGCTTATTTTATTCAATTTCACTACCTCTGTTATTCTTGATAGGTAGTGCCTCTTTCATTAAATTTAGATGTATTACAATGACAACAATTTTGAAATAAATTTAACGAAAAAAAGTAGAAATTTAAGAAGGAAATATTACTAACACATTATCCTTTTGTTACAAATCATTTCCTTAACATGACATATTTTTTAAATAATAATTAAATTAAAGAAAGCAATCATTTCATTATTTTTTTATAAAAGTGTAATAATGATAATTAATTGTAATTAAATTAGTTATAAATGGGACAATTAGAAGAAGAATACAAATAATAAAGTGATTTTCCTTGTTGTACATTGATTGGGCATTTGAGTTCCTTTGTCTTTCCCTTTGAGTGAAACTTTTTTACATTGGAGTGGAAAGAAAACTTTTATTTTCCACCTTAAAGAAGTTTGTTTTCAATTTAGGAACATATTGCCTGCTTCTTTTTACTTTTTTTTTGGTTGTATGTATTTTTTTAGGATCCAATAATTTTTTATGCGTACAGTTCTTTTGAAAACTATATAGTTATATCAAGCTCTTTTCATTTGTTGATTCTGAGGAGCAGTATAAGAAATAAACTATTTCGAAACTTTTTATTAGGTGGAGATTATTATGTTCAGTCTTGTAAATGTAAAAACTTGTATAACTACTAATTACATACCAGGTTTGATTTTAAAACTGGCGTTGCAATTGACTTGTGGTGCATTCTGCACTGTAAAAAGTTCAACTAATAAAATTTACCCTAAGAGGAATCGCTACCTTTTTTAGGTTTTTTATTATTATGGTATATACCATTCCTCTACAAATGATCAATTTAAACTACTTTTAACAAATTTAAAACTTTTAGCTGACTTTGTGATGAGTTATTTCTTAATAACAAAAATAAACTACATGCCACATAATTAAAAAAAAATTTTTTTAATTTCAGTGTCAATTTAGTCAGAATAAAATGCCCATATTCTCATTTTTTATTGACTTTAAAAACTATTTATTTCATACCTTTTATAATTATGTAATGTTCAGATAGAATTGAATTTGTTTGGACAAACATTGCCTGTTAATAATGTCACAATAATGTGAATATACTTAAAAAATATATGAAATGTTTTTTTTTTTAAATTTTAACGGCAAGTGCTCTCTCTCTTTCAAACTCTGCATGTTTAGTTTTTAAAAGTAACTTTGTCCCATTTGAAATTAAACCAAACCTTAAAAGAAAACTTTTTTTTATTGAAATAATTAAAGAATTACTTGAAATAATTATTGAATTGCTTTTTGAACTGTCAACATATCCTGTGCAAGCTATAAAGTATCTGGATTTCTATTTTATTCTAAAAAGCTTGATAGCTATTAAATGGGTATTTTAGAAACTTGAATAGATTTTGTGCTATTTGTGAAATTTTTAACAGCTGTTTTTTTTCTTTTATTTCTATGTATAGCACATTTTGACATTCTTAAAAAGGATCAAACTTTGGATAGTAATGTTGAAGCAAATGGAAATTTATCCACTCATGGTAAGTTAAATAAATGTAGCTAAAATGTGCAGCAAGGTTTTATGGATAATTTACTAGAATTAGTCTTCAATGTACTATATAACCTAGTGTATAAGTCGAATGTGTTTCAGAAATCAGGGCATATACACAGGTTGCTAAGACAGTTATTTGTCGATCTTGAAATATCGTTGCAATATAACCCTAAAGAGGTAGTAAGGAATCAATTTGCCCTTTCAAACACTATTTGAAGATCAAGAAGGCGGTCCATGAAAGCTGATTATGAGAAAAGATGAATTTAAAGACAGGCAGGAGCAGTTTTTCTATAGCATAACCCATCTTCACTGTTAAATAACTCTCGGGAAGAACCAATTTGTAAAAACTTAGTAGTTCTCTAAATGTCGATCCAATTATCTTTTATCTGAGGAAATTTTAAAGACTTAGTTTTTTTAATTTTGGAAAAAATTATTTATATATATATATATATATTTTCCCCCACAGTTGTTAACTTACACACTCGACAAACCAGAAATTCACTATCTCATAATCAAAAGCCAGGGGTGAACATCAGAATATACGTTATCAATTGTGTTTGTATATGCAAGCCCCGTATAGTTCTTAAAAGCATTAAAGTGCAACATTAGGAAAATAATCTGTATTTTAAGTAGTTTATTTTAACACTATTTTTATTTGTAATCTAGTTGCAATTTCAAAGGCTTCAAATCCTTTACAAAGCTTCCCACCTATGACTTGTGCTGCCATCTGCTTATAACTTCAGAAAGAAAAATTAATGCTTTTTTTTAACATAAATGTGGGAACTGTAAAAATGGGATCAAAAAGAGAGAAAAACAGTAGTTTTCTCTTTTATGCCTTCATTTGACTTGTGGGGAGCCACAATACCCCCTCCCCCCAAAATTTTATCAGGATAGATTTCAATGAACGGATACCACTAGTTGGCCATATTTGCAGATCATTCACCGGATTTTGAGCGCTTGTCCACAGTTGTGTGTGTGGTCTCTGCTGTACGGCTTTTAGCAGCCGTGTATGCAGGATCCCGTTATGTGTAAGTTAGACTGAGAAGCAACGTTGTGAGAAGGACAATGACACAGTCATAAATATACAGGCTATCTGGGCACCAGGAAAGTCATGAATTTAGGAATTGAACAAAATTTGTCAAGAAATGTCATGATTTTAACTATTTTTTTAAAAAAAGTCATAGATCTAAGTGGCCGAAAATTTTAGTTTTTAAAATGGAAATTATCCCCCCGCCCTCAATTTCATGGTGGTCCAAATCTCTAAATTTGTAACAAAATCCCCACTCACAGTCATATTTTATAAAAATATGAAATGTATTCATCATGTGCTTTAAAAATTATGGTGTTCAAAGTTCATGTTCTTTAAAAATTATGGTGTATGAAATTATGTTCTTCCAAAGAATGAAAGAAAAAAACATTTCTAGAGCAAATTATCTTTTAAACTTCTGTGGTTTCAGAATTTTTGTTAATCATTTTTTATTTATTTTTTTCATTTTGTTATTTATTTTTTTTATTCTGAAATAAGAACAGAAAAATCAGGAATATTTCTTTCCTTTCTGATGAGCAAGAAATGTATCTTTAGAATATAATTCTGCAGAAAAAAAGAACAAATTATTTGCTTTCATATTTTTTCCGCTATTTTATTGCTTCAACTCTTTCTTTATTCTGTTTTTTAAATTTAAATATGAAGATGCAGAGATTAACAGTTTTGGTTATGCCTCTCATTTCAATTAATATTATTATAATGTTTTTTTTTTAAATTTATTGTTGCGTTTTTGTCAGAGGAAATAGTAATTTTGTTAAGTCATGAAAAATTCTTGGAATTAGTCATGAAAAGTAATGAATTTGAAAATTTAAAATGTAGCAGATGCCCTGCTAATAACTAGTTAACTTTTTTCAATGTGTACCATCCATCAAAGCAGGTGTGTTCGTAGCACATCATCTGCAAGTCAACAATATAAGCAGAGTAGAAATCGACAATACCAACCTTCGTCTATCAAAAGGTACCTTGGAGATTGATTCCAGTTAGCACATCTTATATACTAGGGAATTGATGTTTAATAACCGTAGTGGTAGTTACGCTAGAGATTCAATAAGTTTATTTTTAGTTATAAATACTGAATTTGATTATTTACATGCAGAGAAGTTTATGTCCACCAGTAGGTGAAAATCCCACCCAGATTTCCAATTAAGAAATGGTGTCAAAAATCAAATTAGTTTTAGGTAATGAACTGAATGAATATAAATCTATCCCAAAAATATCTTAATAAAATGTTCTTTTTACAATAAACGACTGGCTCATTATATTATTGATATGACGTTTTACAGTTCACACCTATTTATTTATCCTGTTTCCCAAGTTTTTAACAATGTTGTTTCTCTTATTATTATGGTTCTCATCTTTGCATATTTTTGCTGGGAAATAGTGTCATTTTTTTAATTATGTTAATTTGAAACTAAAGCTTAGAAATAAATTTTTTTATAATTTGTTCAATTGCTTCTTAATTTATGTAATTTGTAGTGACAATTTGAGTGATGTATATTAAATTAAGAAATGTGTTGTGTATTTATCAAATGCTGGGTAGCAAGTTAAAAATTAGCTGCGATTAAATTTAAAAATATTTAACAACTGCATGGGTGCCAATCTTCAGTACTGAGAAAAAAATAATGAGATTAAATTTCGTCAATTAATCTCTTTTCCATTTGTTCTTTAAATTAAAATGTCCTTTTTTCCTTAAAAATATTAATTTTAACAAACATTTTCTATCTATTTTTCCAGTTAATTTTATACAAATATTACATTTTAATAAGAACTTTGTTGTTTTTCATAATTATTGCAAAGTGAACTGATAATGATGTTGCACCACAATGTGAGAATGTGATAGATCGAATTTCAGCACCTGCTTGCTTAAACAAAATTTGTGTTGTGTCTAAATTTGTTAGAGTTTTCGTTTTCCCCTGACGTTTTGAAATGGTGAAGTAAGTTAAGATTTTTTTTATAAATGTATTGAGATAGGACAAGAAATAAATAATGATGAAGCAAAAAATAAAGTAGACATATGAATAGCTTCATGAAAATATTAATGGTTTATTATCCAGTGATTGGTGCAAAAAGATCTACAAGGTTAACTGGAATTTTTATCTTGTTCGCTGTGAAAAAATAAATTAACAAAATGAAAAAGAATAATCAAATCAATCGATTTAATATATGTGCCATTATTATGGAAAGATATATTTTGGAGTCAGTGAGAAATTTCTGAAAATTCTGGTAAACAACACTAAATCATGTCAATTGATCAAAAGATCAGTTCAGTCTTGAAATAATTTTTAAGTAGCAACCATGCAACTGTAGCCAATCCCAAATCACCACCAGCATATACGGATTCAAATATGATGTCACAAAAAAAGGTCGTACAATAAATATAAAGTTTGTCTGGAATTAAGAATCAAAAGAAGTTAATTTATTTTAATGTTGATTAATTTTTCTATTATTATTAAGCACTATCGCGAGATGAATTCCATTATGTGGCAGAAATTCAATATCAAGTTAAGCAAAGAATTACAAATAATAAATTAGATACTTTTAAATTTATCATGAAGGATTACAATTATAAACATTTTTGCTGCACTTTAAAGAAAGGAATAAGAAGAAACCTAGTCTTATCTTCATTTTTGTGGGCCCGTTTTTTCTTCTTTGAATCCCCCCCTCTCTGTCTGCCCCTGTTTCCAAACTACCATCAAAAACTCTCCTCTGTCTTCTCATCTAAAAATTGGCAGGCAAATACATCTTATTTTTTAAATAAGGAGGCCATCTCAAACAGAGAGTCAAGGCAGAAAGAGGCAGGCTGAGACTTATAAAAAAAAGAGAGACTACGGTTTTGATATCGATGATCAAAATGGGCTGCAGGTTGTGAAGTGCAGAACTCTCTATCTATGGCAACACTTTACATGCTTTCACCATTAGTGTGTGGAGAGTCATTACAGAAGGAAGTATGTTAGTTTCTGTCTAGATTTTCGAATAGATTAAAAACTTTTAGGTTAGGAAAAAAACTGAACAACCACTACTACATACTACTGCTTCCATACTACCATCAAAAAACTCTCCTCTACCTTCTAATTGGACAAATCTCTTAACTAAAAATTGCAGGCAAGTACTGCTTATTTTTTCAATAAGGAGGCCATCTTAATCAGCTAGCCAAGGCAGAAAAAGGATGACTAAGACTTTTATTTAAGAAAAACTACACACATTGGTTTCGATACAGCAGTGCAGCCAGAAAAAGTAAATCTGAAAATAGTAGTACAATTTAAATAAAAGAACAAGCTGTGACAAGCAAGTTGTAGCAACACTGTAAATTTATAATTTATTGGTGACCTTTATATGTGGGAATTAATGGAAAAAGGATGGCTAAGACCTTTATTTAAGAAAAACTACACACATTGGTTTCGACACAGCAGTGCAGCCAGAAAAAGTAAATCTAAAAATAGTAGTACAATTTAAATAAAAGAACAAGTTGTAGCAACACTGTAAATTTATAATTTAATGGTGACCTTTATATGTGGGAATTAATAAAAAAATTTAATCCCAGCTCTAGTTATTAAAAGTAAATTACTTGTGTTTCTAGTTATTCATTTAAAATGGGACTCATATTATTACATATAAATCTAATTAGTGATTATGTTTTTATATAATGGAAAACTTTATACGTTTCAAAAATATACAAAAATGAAATGAGATTAAACTGTCATTTTATTTTGTATATTTTTGAAACGTACTAAGTCTTCAATCGAGATAATATCTTAGCGCTTCAATTTCTTGGGATTTTTTTATTTACTGATTATGTTGTTTTTTATTTTATTTATATTTCTTAATATATCTTGTCTTCTTTTAGATAAGCTGAATTCAACAAAATCAGAAACAACAGAGAAAAATTTAATTCAAGTACTAAGTTGTATGTATTGTGGTTTTTCCATGCTTATTCTTTTTAATTAAAATGTAAAGCATTTCATGGAGTGAAATTTGCTTTATTATTCGTATTTGGTCTTGATCGTGCAGAAACGAATATTTATATTATATTTATGCATATTTGGTTATGCATGATTTTTTTTAAATGTTGGTTTAGGGAAGTCTTTGGAAGCTCAATGTTGTATTACAGTTGTATTTTCAGTAATTGTTTTAACCGGAGCTTCATTTATTGCTCCATTGATGGTACCAAACTTTACTTTCCCTTAGGAAGTTATGCTACAGGCTGAGGTCTATGCCATTATCTTGTGCTTTGACAGGGGATATCTCTCTGTGTAAATTCACCTCTTTCTTAGTGTGGGGAATGTTTTTCTATCTTTTCTACTCATAACAGGGTATTCTTGGAAATGAACTAGCTGATGCTGGCTCTAGTGTTTCTGGGGGCCCTGAACCTGCATCTCTAAATCTAATCTAACCGGAGCTTCATCAATTCGGGTATCCTCTTTAAATTTTTTTCACGCTGAAAACACCTGTATTTTTTACTACTTAAAATAACCATTGCAGTCATTTTGACTGCAAGTCAAATTACTAATTTATTTTAAGCAGGGTTGCCACACCACAGGGAATTGGAAAATAAAGGGAATTTAAAAATCATCTGAGATAACTGGAAAATTGCAGAGAATTTTTATTTTTTCTTTACTAGTTAGGAAAATACAGATAATTTTGTTTTTCATTTTCGTCTTTTAAAAAATGGTAACCACTCAAATCATAATCTATGGGATATTTAAGGATGATATTTCAGTTATACTAAACTATTTCCTTTGCTATAGCATTATTTAAGTATGTTTCTTTTTTCCTCTAAGTTTTTCCCTCAATTAAAATAAGTATAGTTAGCCCAATATAACTGACACAAGAGAACTGTAATTGTGTTTCCTCTTAATATATTGTGTATAATACAGAGATGATTGTGTTCTGGAAATAAAATACAGATTTCCGGATTTTTCGCTAATTGCAATCTGGAAGTTTCCAGAAATCCAAGGTCCAGAAGTTTCAGGAAATCTTCAATCACATTTATGTATTAAAATTCTTGAATATTTAATTGAAAAATATTAGAACTAGAATTTATCCTTGGCATCTGTTTTATTTGCAAATATTTTTTCTTGTAGAATAATAAATTTGATTAGAGATAAAAGTAAACTTACACGTAATTATTCCTTTAAATTTTGCTGCTTATAATTTATTTAGAATTTTGTGTTTTGAAAATATCAATGATTTAAATTTATGAAGACACGATATTGAGCGGGATGAAAATTTTTTTTAACCAATTCAAAATGATTTTTATTAAATTAAAATTATTCCTTCTGTAATTTTACTTCACTGAAATTGTAAGCGCATTTAAATAGTTTTTTCTCTCAAGACATTAAGTTAAATGAAACCAATTATTTTGTAGGTGAAGTCAATAGGCTAGAGTTAGAACTTCAGAGAGTTCAAAAAGAGAATTTTAAAAATGAATCCTTGTCGAATTCTGAAACAGATGAATGCACTTCGAACGGAGATGCAAAACCTCCCGACTATGTAAACAAACTTCAAGCAGATGTACAACATTTAAAAAGTTGGTATTATTGTGTTTTTGATACTTTACTTTTGTTTACTTGATACAAAAGAAATTCATTTGAATTGTAAAAGAAAAAAACATTAACGAATTCCAATATGATTGAATAAGTACTTTTATACCACTATTTTAAATCTAGTTTCCAGTGGATTAAAAAGAAAAACAAAGTTTGGTGTTTTTCATTTTCATGACATTCCTGCAGAATTGCTTTTTCTGATTAAGTTGCTTTGTGAAAATATAAGAATGTGTTCTTAACATTTAATAAAAATTTAGAGCGGTATAAAAAGATAACTATTACATGTATAATAGTATTTGTTCAGTGCACATGTTTAGCATTTAGAAAAATGTAAAAAATTTATAAAAATCTTTTTAAAAAATAAAAGAGTATCTAGAATGAATGATTTTTATAAAAAATTTTAGTGTTGACATCTATTGATCTGTAAAGTAGATTACATACTGGTATAACAAAACCTACATATGTTTAGGTGCAATTTTTAGCATGTTTTTAATGCAGGTGGATCTTACATTTTAATGATATTCACTAGAAGTAATATTTCTAGAGAACATTTTCTCTTTATTTTTATGAGGAATAAAAAAAATTGCATATACTGAGTCAATAAAGTACTTTCATTGCATCAATAATGAAAAGCAGTTGTATCATTACCCCTGACAAAAATTTCAGATAATGAAGAAAAAGAATAATTTTTTTTATGTATTTAGTTTCTTGGTTGCCTTTTTGCGTCAATTTATCACTATTCAAATACACATGGTGCGTAGCATTTTTGAAAAGTTCTTAAGGGTGCTTATATTCCATTTTCGTTTTTAGAAAGCCCTTAAAGGTGCCTTTTTTATTGGGTGTTTTTGAAAAATGCTTGATTTTTCCTTTTCGAAAATGGAGAAGAGAAAAAAATTTCTTTACCATGTCGAAATATTATGGAAAAGCGCGTTTTTGTTCTATTAAACGTTCTCACAAAGGATTTCAGCTTACCAGCAATCCTTACTGTATGAAAGCGGCAATCATTTTACATGTTTGATACTTGGGTTTGGTGAGATTATTGCACTCTCATGTGCAAGATATTCTCAATTTCAGACTTCATTTTACCCTCTGATATCAAACCGAAAAATCTCTCTATCTTTTTGTGGTTGCTAATATAATCGAGAAAAGAGTTCTCTTTCAGACACTAGTTATTTTATCATGATCATGTTAAGTCTTTGAATATTATTTTGCATTTTGTTAATGTAGATAGTAATAAAAATATTTTATATGTGCTTAAAAGGTGCTTATTTTTTGTTGAAAGATTTAGCAACTCACCCTGATAAAATTTCATTTTCTTATGAAAAATAATTTTTAAGACCCATTCCCATAAAAAAGTTAGGAATAAATATTTCATTTCTATACTTATGTCTCGAAACAAACTATGCCTGAAGAGAGTTACAATAAGCTGTTACAAATTTGTTCTTGCCAAAAAAAACTTCACGGAAAGTTTACACAAGAAAAAAAAATTAATCTGTTTCTTTTTTGGTACGTTTTGACCAATAGCAGACAGTTAACCATGTAAATAACACTAAACAATGATAGGATTAAGAAACTCTAAACTGAAACTCATTTTACTTGGTGTTTGTATATTTTCCTTTTGATGAAATATATTTTAAAAAAAGTTCATCTAGGTAAAAGACTTCAAAATCTGAAGAATGGCTACAGTATTACATCTTTTATGTTATTTTTTTAACTTCATTTTATTTTTGTTGCAGAACTTTTATCTGAAGCTCGAGATAACAAAAAGCTTGCGGATTCTGAATTATTGCATGCCAAAAGTAAGTATGAATTATTCAATCTAGTGAAATTTTGTTTAAAACATAATATAATAAATTGGCATATATTCTATCAATAAGTAAGTTTTGTTGTGTATTGAATAAAATATTATATAAAGTCGGACTTCTATCTAATGAACTTTCATTTTGAAAATTTCTTTGTAAAATAACTTACAAATCGTAAAGTAAATTTTCGACTTAACAAACTTTTCTTTGAGATCCACTTTCCTTATTTCCCAAAATATTTCAGAACATTTTAAACTTGTTAACTCATTTTATGGGGAAAACAACCTTGAATTGATTTCCACAGCCACTTTTTAGAGAAGGCAGTAAAATCCCTTTCCCTTTTTGTTTACATGACATACAGGAATCCATACCGAAAGTCAATTTACGGGAAAGCATAACTGAAATTTCTAAAGCATGGAACTATGATGTTACAGATCATACTATTCATAACAGTTTTAGCTAAAGCTGGTTTCTTAGTCAGCGCAGAGAATTTGGAAAGTGCGGGAGGCGAGGATGATATTCTTTTAGAACTGAAAAAAATCAGGGTACAGCTAAGAGAAAACCACGAAATTAACAATGTGATTAATGATTTTCTCTTTATTGATTCTGAAGCTGCAACCACAGAAATATTAACTGAATAGGATATTTTGAGCTGAGTGAAAAATAAACACAATACAGCAATGAATTGTTAGGAAGACAAGGAAGATGTCAGAAATGATGAAATCACCAAATCTTCATCTGATGAAATGTTAAAATCATTTGAAACAATTCGATAGTAGATGCTAATTTACAAAATAATGGTGTATCAATCGCTATATTCATTATGTCTAGTGTTTAGGAATTTAAAACTTGTTTTGTGTTGCTTAAGTATTAAATGGTGATTTTCTATTTGACAAATTTTCCATGTAATGAACTTTTTTATCAGGATTTAGCCACTTCTTTAAATAGAGGCCAACTGTATTTCTGATTAAATTATTGCTATGTATGTGCCAAAAATGAGATGTATAATTCATTAAGCATTTTCTCAAAATACCTAGAAAACCCAGATTTCAGTGAAATTTTTGAGTTTTTATCATTATTCAGGCTTAATTTAAACTCTTTTTTTTTCAGGTCAGTTAGAAGAGGCAGAAAGAGATGTCAAATCCATATCTGCAGAATTGCAATTTGTTTTAGATCAGTTATTAAGAGCTAAGCAAGAATTGAAAGAGAAAACTGACCAAGCACAAATACTAGAAAGTAAGTATAATTATAAAAAAATAATAAACCACATTAATAGAACACTATTTGAATAAATAATATCAATCATTAACCCTGTAGCAGTATTTTTTCAGGCTTTCTGTGAAAAACCTCTCTAGCACTAATATCTTTCTGCAAGATACTTTTAATAATAACGAATACATATGTTACTAGTTTAAAGTCACAAAAGCGTTGTGTTTACAAAAAAAAAAAGAACTATTTGGATAAAATAAATTGTGTATATATTTTTTAATAGAATTAATTTTATTATTCTAATACTATGGGCAATATTTTTTATCAGAGAAAAATGCACTAATTATTTCTTTTTTTGCATTTTGTAAATCATCTCACTTAAAAAAAAATTATTACAAATTGTGAAATCCCTTGCAGTAATTAACAAAAAAAAAAAATAAATAAGTTAGACGACGAAATGACTTGAATCAGACTCTTTAAAAAAGGGTTACTCAAATGTTTATTTCGTTTCGATCGTCGTCATCGTATTAAAAATATCGGATATTAAAAGCCACATGGAAAGAAATATCAATCAATAACTGTCGAAAATCAATTGAAACACTATTGATTTACGATATTATTGAACTAAGTTGTGATTTACATCAGAAAGTGCACAGTTCAAATTTTGCATTTCGAAATAATATAACCTGAGAAATAACTTTAATTTTAAAAACTGTATGGAAATCGGTATCGCTAGCAATAACTGCCGAAAAGTCCAAGAAAAGTTTAAATTGTCGCATTATAAAAGTAAATTATCACTTAAGCAATTTGAGTTTCACGTGTATTAAAATTGTTAAAAAAACATCAAGTTTTTTTTAAATGTGGAATTTACTAAGCAATAATTGTCAAAGGTTGACGATTGAAGCATTGGATTAACAATAATAATGGTGCTAACCAGGCATGTAAGAAAGTTATTCCTTGAATCTGCGATTCAAACTTTGAAGGCATCAAAAAGTGTTTATTTAAATGTGTAATTCAAATTCATGAGTAGAAATAATATCAACAAATAGACCATGGAATTTGGCAGTACTAGCGATAAAAATAATGAAATTGTCCTATTAAAAGTAAAAAATCAAAGAAGTGATTTGAGTTTTACGTTAAATAAAATTGTTCAAAAAAATATTGGGATTCGTCTTTTTTTCCCAATGTAAAAACTTGTTGCAATAACTGTCCGAAGATTGATTGAAACACTGCAAGGATTAAGAAGGATATTTGCACAAATTAAGTACGTCTAAGGTGATTTCTTGAATCTGCGATTTGAACTTCCCTTGCCATAATAATATTAGTATTTTTTTAAAATTCACGAGAATATCATTGAGACACCATTAATAACGAAGCAATAAAAAGCATCAAGATTTCAAGAAACCAAGCAAAAATTCTCAAAAATAAATGCCAAAAACAGTTATCAAAACGCTACATATTTTTACGAAGGAATTGGCACGAAATGTGAACAATAAAGTGAAGACTTAAATGCGTAAACTAAAATTTTCATGTGCATATAATATTAAAATTATCAACAAAAAATGCATTCGAGACTTTTCGTATAAAAGAAAACTAAAATTTTTTACTTGATTATTCTCAAATGAGAATAGAAAAATTAAGACCATTACCTTCTCCTCCGATGCACAAGTTAGGCATCTTTTGAACATAATTTTGGGTAAAAATTTTTTTTCCAAACATTTCTGCAAAAGAGCGCTGTTTTAGGGCTAATATATTTAGAGTTTCAAACAGGGTTCGTTGATTTAAATCAGCTTGATTTAAATCACGATTTAAATCATGATTTAAATCAAATGATTTTTTAAAAAAAATCATTGATTTAAATCAACTAATTTTTTTTATCTATATATATTGATTTTAAAAGTTAAAAAANTTTTTACGAAGGAATTGGCACGAAATGTGAACAATAAAGTGAAGACTTAAATGCGTAAACTAAAATTTTCATGTGCATATAATATTAAAATTATCTACAAAAAATGCATTCGAGACTTTTCGTATAAAAGAAAACTAAAATTTTTTACTTGATTATTCTCAAATTAGAATAGAAAAATTAAGACCATTACCTTCTCCACCGATGCACAAGTTAGGCATCTTTTGAACATAATTTTGGGTAAAAAAATTTTTTTCAAACATTTCTGCAAAAGAGCACTGTTTTAGGGCTAATATATTTAGAGTTTCAAATGTAAATTTGTCAAAAAAAGAAACAGAGGAAGTATACTTTTTTTTCTCAGTTTTAATAACTTAAAGGATCATCTGCATTTACATGGTGTGTAGCGTTTTTAAAAAGTACTTAAAGGTGCTTATTTTCGTTTTTTGTTCTTTAAAAGCCCTTAAAGGTGCTTTTTTCATTGGGTGTTTTTAAAAAAGTGCTTAATTTTCCCTTTTTCAAAATGACATTTTTCCTTTACCATGTTGATTTTCGCTACGAATTATGGGAGAAGGCACAGTTCACATTGTTCTATTCATTCATTCATATTCTATTCATTGTTGTTTTCACAATTAATTCAACCTCAATCTATTTCACTATATTGTCAGTCCATTGCATATGAATACGCCATTCATTTTACTTGATTCAAAATTTCATGATTTTTGACAATTGTCAAAAACAGTACCAAAAGTTTTTTTTTTTTTTTTGCTTGAAGGTTAAAACAAGATAAAACCATCAATTGTCAAAAACTTTCCAACCTTGCCTAATTATATTTTTTTAAAGTGCTTGAAAATATTTTTTGAGTGCTTACTTTTTGTTGAATAATTTGGCTATGCACCCTGATTTATTACTTAACATAAACATCAAATTTTTAAAAGTTCTGAAAATCTGAGTTATTGAGAGTGTTGTTCTTTTTTGCTACTGTCCATCAAATCATTATCTGAATTGTAACTTAAGTATGCTGGACCAGTTTTAATATTTTTTTCTTTCTTTTTTCCAGATAAACTATTATCTTTAAGTAATGAAAATGATCCAGTTAGGCAGAAAGAAATAATACAAGAAACATTAAATGAATTGCAAAATCCTTCTCAGAGCCCTCTCAAAGATTCACAAGGTTTGAATTTTTTTCTTCTGATTGTGTGCTATATTTTCTTCCATCTCACTTCATTCATAAATCTTGTTATTTGACTTTTCAGAGAATATTACAAGTCTTGTACTTAGTAAAGAAAATGAATATGTTTCTTTTGCTGAATATGAAACTCTTAAGAAAAATTGTGTCATCTTTGAGGAACAAGTTAAAACACTGGAAACAGATTTAATGAAGTAAGCACGTTTAAAAAAAACATATTTACTCTGAACCTAATTTTTTAAAGGTGGGTACTTGGGTCTATTTTCCATTGGCGTCAGAATTGCTACTCTCTTATTGTTACCCAGTGAGCACCTGTGGCTAAGCCACGGTGGTGGAGTAGCATCGCCCACATCACACAACCACAAACCCGTTTATAAGGCAGGTTACATTCACACAGAAGAAAGGACATAGAGCACACAGAGAGAGAAAGTTATATCCACACATATGGTGGGATTCAAACCACCCACCCCATAGTCCAGTACAGTAACCACTAAACCAGTGATCGGCTTTACCCGATCACTGGATTTATCTTAAACTAAAGTAAGAGTTATTCTAACATATGTCTCAGAAACATTCATTGTTAAGTATATTGTTTTTTATTATTATTATTTCTTTCACACGGAATTTTTCTAGATCATAGCAAAGTGCTGGAAAAAGCTTAAATCGATTATATGAATTGCCATTAGACTTGAAGAAAATGTATCTACATTTAAAGAAAAATATTACTCACAGAAGTGAATCGTTATTGACTAGATACGCATATTATAGGTAAACACTTTGTGGAAAGTTAGTCACCACTCCAGAAAATTTTTTGGTATTACTCAATATGATAATATTAAATAATAGTCCCCTATTCTATCCCACAATCAATCATTAAGAGGAGAATATCTTTCTCTCTCTATTTGTATTGTTATATAATGTAAACTATAAAGCTTCATCGGTCATGAAATTTGTTTCTCAATGCTTAATTATGCCTATTATCCTCAAATACTTGTTATTGTCTACTTTTTACCATACCTTCCAATTTACCTATGATTTTTCAAGTGATAGTGAAATGACAAGTAAATTGCAATTGTAAGCAGATTTTCTTCTTTTTTTTTTATAAATTTTAACAGACTGTAACGTTGTATGATTATTCTGCATATATCTATCTCTCTCTCTATATATATATACATAATTTTTAAAAAATCTTTGAAAACTTTTATTCAAAATCTTTTATGAATTTATAAATTCAGAAGTTAAAGGAAAAAGAACATAGATTAAGTACCATTTTAAATATAAAATTAAAATCTTATGAAAATTCTTAGAAGTCGAATAATGTGTTTTCTACATTTAAAACTGATAAAGTCTTTATAAAAGTTGGTTTTTTAATTCCAAAAAAATTTGTGTAAAGCAAAATACACATTATAATATACTCATATAATTCAATGATATTATTTTCTTTCATTCATTCTAAAACTTTAGTTGATGTAATTATGTACCAACATTAGATACTTCATGTAGAATGTTCTATTGGTTTTTCCTTGTTTTGTACCCAAAAAATAAAACACCTTAATAACTATTTTGAACGGGAATTGAATTACCCATGTTTATTTCAAATATGTCTCCTTAACTTCATATTAGGGTTCGTTTTTTGATGAGAAGAACCAAAAAATGATAGTTATAAAACTTCTGCATGTGGATTTTTTATAGTGTATTTAAAACATTAAATTGAACCATATTTTTAAGACATTTTCTTTTCAACAAGTTTAACACATGAAATTGTATATGAATACTAGTATTTAATATTTTACTTTAAGTTCTACCTCCAATTTTCTATTTAAAATAAGAATAATGACCACTGCTAAGATTTAATTTTTTAGGAATTTGGAGGATTTTTGGTTCAGGTTTTTGGCAGCGAGTTTTATATACAGAATTTTTTACTTCGAAAAAAAAAATTTCTAATCCTGTTTTTGTGTTTCTATTTACTTACTTGTTCTGAAGGGTGGACATTCTCTAACTTTGTTGACTTTAATGTACTTTTTTTTTTTCATTTAATCATCTGATCAAAGCTCAACAAAAAAGTTATTTAACTAACTTCTGTGCAATAATATTTCTTATTTATTTTTAGGCATGTTTATGAAAATTCACGCTTAGAAGCTCAGAGTAAACTGTTAATAACCACCTGTTCTCAACTAGAAGCTGCAAAAGCCAACTCTTTTGAGAGTGACCCTGATTCTCAAGACGATCTCACACCCATTATCAAGTCTGATTTAGTTGACACTATTAAAAAAGTAAACACAGCTATTAATATACAAAGTAAAAGAACAAAAATATTTTCCATGGTTTCCATGTCAGTTTTTACTGTTGCAAAATTTCTTGAGTTTTTTTTATGCATGTTTCAATAATATGCTATCATAATTCAGCCTGAGAAAAACTTTTTATATGAAGTAATTAACTAACCTTTATTTTTTTTGATAGGGCACAGATATTTTGGAGTAAGTTTTGTCTTATTAAATCAAACTATATTAAGTGAATAAATATTAAAAATTAGCAATACCTTAACATAGCTGCCAACTCTACTGGATTTTGCCAGTTTCTCCTGGTTTTTTGGACATTTTAGAAAATTCCCTATAATTGAGTAAATTTCCTAAAGAAATCCCTAAGTATAATTTTTGTACCTGACATAATGAAGCGAGCCTCATTTATAAAAATCAGTTCGAAACTTTTTTTTCTTCTAAAGTGTTCGGTTTATTCAGAACTCTATTTTTAATTAATTTTAAAAAATGTTTCGACTATCTTTGATGAATTAAGTGACCATTCATAATCGAAATTATGAGTAAACATAATGCATAACATCAATCATAACTGGAAAATATTGTAGTTTTTCTATTTTGATGTCTATGAAAATCCCTAAAATTCCCTATGTGTAAAATATTTAGTGCGTCATGTAACAATTATTGTGAAATTTATATTTCATATAATCTACTGGATTTTTTTCTTATGCATATTTGGCAGCTATGCCTTAAGATTAGTTGAAGATGTCAATCACAGAAAGACTGCAGTCTATGTCTTTTTGACATATTGGGTTGGCCTTAAAAAAAGTGCATAATTTTAGAATAGAGAACTGTAGTGTGTCTATCACTAAAAAAATACAATTCAAATTCACTAGTATATATATATGACATGTTAACTCAATTCTATGTAGGGGTACCTTTTCATAGATGAAGGTTGACATTGTCGATAACTACTTTCCACACAACAACATTTCTAGTGTCTGGTAGAGCAAGGAAAAAAAAAAGAAGGATGTAGAACTAATATTTTTTATTTTGTAATCATAGTATGGACATTAAGAAGCCAAACCAAAGTGCTTCACTGTAAATCTTGCAAACTAATCCAGATGATCTTTCAAGTTACGCATATTCATCTAAACCATGTTTTGATAGGTCATTATTTTAAAATTTAATTAATTTTTACACATAGCAATGAGAAAAAAAATTATCGCTAAATTTAGTATAAAATTGTGAAGATTAAATCAAGAAATGTGTTGAGTGACTACAAATTGAATTTTAAAATATTTAACAACTGTAGTTTATCTCAATTCATCACCATTCTTTGTTTGTTGATCGTTGGAGTGCAGTTTCTTAAACAGCATCTCAGAGGAAGTTATGATCTTTCTCTTCATTGCTTGATCAAAATCTTTCATTACCAAAGTTATGCCAACCATTCTTTAGGGTTTTCTATTAGACTTTTTTTTAAAAATTGGGAGATGTTCAGCTTTGAAATTTGCTTTTGAGAATGAAGACTGATTTTCATTTGCACCTTTGTAGTGTGACTAAAAAATTATTTGACACCTGTTGTGGGGAACGAGTTTATCTTATTGTCTGTTTATTTTCTGGATACTACCTTTAGTAGGAGATCTGTACTTTACCAATTATTGACTGTTTACCCACCAGGGACAAATGACCATTGTCATTTGTAATATTTAGCCAAAAAATTGGCCAATTTTTTGGCTAAATATTCAGTATTCAGTTACATCACTATTTGTTATATTGTACTAAAAAACTTTTAAGAACCTGGGAAGAAAGAAAATTGCACATTTCAGACAAGAGAAAGTAGATTCTTCATTCCAAAACCTTTATTATATTCAGGGATGTGATTTTTTCGCGGATTTCCGCTTTTTGTCAGATTTTTAAATTTTTCCCGCTAATTTCCGCTTAAAATTTTTTCTGCACAAGTTTAAATATTTTATGAGGAATTAAACTTACCGCAAAGCGAAAGTATTGAAGTCCTCATTCCTCCCTCAAAAATTGATTTTCGTATTTACCTGATTTAAAAGTTGAACGTTGCGATTCTTAATCTGGCGATTTAAATGTCGTACATTGCGATTCTTTTTTACGAGATTTAAAAATCCAATATCACGATTTGTAATTACGCTCTTTTAAAACCCTATGTAGCGATTCATATTCACACGAGCTTAAAATCCAATGTTGTGATTCGTTTTTGCGTTTGTAATATCAAACATCGATTTTCCTATTTATGCATGCATTAAAAATTAGTGGGATTCGTATTCGCACTATTTAAAAATTACGCATCGTGATTCGTATTTACGTGGTCTAAAAATTACGCATCATGATTTGTATTTTCTCATTTTTTAAATTCGATATAGAGTTTCATATTAAAGTGATTTAAAAGCCTCATTTCTCTTCATATTCATATTCTAGATTCATATTCTCTTAATTTAAAATCATGCATGTGATTCTTATTAATATATTCATGCAATTTTAAAATTAATCATTGGGATTTATAATCACATGGTTTACAAGTTTAAAAATTGCANATATATATATATATATATTCATTCTTGAATTTCCTCTTTTTTACTTTCCAACTACTCTCATCCCTGTATATTGAACGATGATGATTATAGTATTAAAAAATGTTATTTTTATATTTTACAACCGTCATCGAACAGCCGACCCAATTTTTTTTTGGGGGGGGGGGGTTACGACTTCTTATATTCAATTCTGTAGTCTTGTAATTTTGAATCCAATCCAGAAGACAAGAGAACTCCTGGATCAAGTATTGGGAGAAATTTGTTTTCAGGTAGGACTTTTTGAGGGAATTAACCCGTATTTTCGTTACATGGCGAGGAAAACCTCCCACGGTTAGCCTGACAGCAAGGGGATTCTAACCCATGATCCCTCTACCACTGAGGATATTTTGCCTCAGCACTGTGGTCAGTGCAAGCTGAATGCAGAGTTTGTAACGACCAGCCATTGCTGGGATTTCTCATTGGAAGGGGAACGCTATATCCCCTGAGCTCAATGTTATTATAATGATGCTGATTTCTCCAGTAGACTACTGGATTTTGCCAGTTTCTCCTGGTCTACTGGTTTCATAAAAGTTCTCCTGGTTTTTGTATATTTTAGTAAATTCCCTAAAATTGATTAAGTTTCTTTAAAAAATCTCTATTGAAATAGAATTTTTGCACAGATTATTGCTTGCCTAAATATTTAAATATTACTAATACATAATAAAGCGAGACTCATATATAAAATCAGTTCAAAACTTTTTTTGTTCTAAAATGTGAGTTTATTTTTGTTCAGAACCCCCTTTTTAAATTAATTAAATATTCTGTTAACTATCTTTGATGAATTAAATGCTAAATATTTTTCAAAAACTATGAGTAAACATAATGTGTAACATTTCAAGTTCATTTAATGTTAATCATAACTGGAAAATATTTCAGTTTTTCTATTTTGATGACTATGAAAATCCCTATGTGTAAAATATTAAGTACATTTTGTGGCAATTATCATGAAATTTATATTATTTCCTATCCATGTTAACTGATATAAATGTTTTTGCAGTTATTAGATGCTCAAGAAGAGATAACTCTGATTAAAGAGAGATACGAAGAATGTAACAAGGAGAAATCTTATTTGCAGAGTGAGCTTAATGTGTTAAAGGAACAACTTCAGCTACTCTCTGTGCAATCTAAAACTGTGAGTTCTTTCTACACAGCATTCAAAAATTGTGAACACAATTTATTCAAAAAGTTCATGTATTCAATTCCTACACTTTCCTTATATCTTGTTCAAATTTTCAATTGTTAACAAAAAATACTTATCCACTCAAGTACATTTTTTTTCAAAGTTATTGTGGAGGACACTTGATGTTAATACAGTAGGGAACCGATTATCCGGAACGATCGGGACCATCGCTATTCCGGATAACTGATTTTTCCGGTTTTCTGAATCGCTACAAAAAGCCGTTTTTTTTTTTATTGTTAAACCCAACTAAAAAAAAATATTAGGAAATAATCTTAAAAAGAAGAAAAAACGATGAAGTAATACAGTAATGATTATCTCTAAAATGATGGTATGGTAAACATCTTTCAAAAAAGAAAGAAAAATCCTAAAATCTTATGAGGAAAAAAAAAAATTTTTTTAAAAAATGGTGGGAAAATTTATCGAATTTCGTTCCGGTATTTTGGTTTTCCGGTTTTCTGATTTCCGGATAACGGGTTCTGTACTGTATATTAATTCATTCATTAAACAGGGATGAGTGAAAAACGAACTTTCTGATGGGTTAGTCATTGTTTTAAATTTTACTATAAGCGATTCAGTTTTTCACATATTTTAAAGATAACATCAGGGATAATTTCTAACTTATAGCTCTACTTAAACAAAAAAATAGTTTATGGCGGCCATTTAAATATTTAGCTATTTTATATTCGTTGTATCAGATAAATTCAATAAAGAACATCACATGGTAGCACGTGTGATCCACGTCACCAAATTTATAGTTTTCAGATACTGTGTTCCTTTTTTTTCTTCTTTTAGTTCCTACTATTAGTTCACACTCTCCCTATATATATATACAGTACAGAACCCGTTATCCGGAAATCGGAAAACCAAAAAACCGGAACAAAATGCAATTAATTTTCCCGCCATTTTTGAAAAAAAAAATTTTTTTTTTCCTCATAAGATTTTAGAAATTTTCTTTCTTTTTTTGAAAGATTTTTACCTTACCATCATTTTGGAAATAATCATTAGTGTATTACTTCATCGTTTTTTCTTCTTTTTAAGATTATATTAAAAAGTTTTTTTCTTAGTTGGGTTTAACAATTAAAAAAAAACGGCTTTTTGTAGCGATTCAGAAAACCGGAAAAAATCAGTCATCCGGAATAGCGATGGTCCCGATCGTTCCGGATAATCGGTTCCCTACTGTATTTATACATCTCATTCAAATTTTCAATCGTTAGCAAAAATACTTTTAATTCATTCACTCGAGTTCAAATACATTTTTTTTTTTAAAACTTGTAGTGGATGTCACTTGATGTTAATACAGTTTTTTTCAAACATTCATTAAATTGGATGGATTGTGTCATTAAATTTACTGTATGAGAAAAGATCATTATTTGGTGCTCTTTAGAAGAAAAAATTTAAATAGAGACTTTCAAAAGCAATGTCTCCATTTCAAGTGAGTTTTAACATTTCCTTGGTGAAAACTGTTATGAAATCTTCAATTACTCATCCTCCCACCAGTGGCATAGTTTTGGGGGACAAAACCCCCTCCGAAATTATATATATTACTTGATTAATGAACTATTGTATGATAAGTAGGTTGTAGATATAAAAAAGTTTTCATTATTTGTTTTTTTGTAATCTAAACGTTAAGAATGAATATATATATTTGTTTCTCTTTAAAAGCACTGTAAGTTCGTAGTGTGGGGGTGTTTATTAAAAAAGATACGGGAGCTTGGAGAAATAATAGAATTTTATTAAAGTGAGGGCCAGGGGACCAAAAGTGAGAACATGGATAGATAGAGAAGAGCCAATTGACTTGGGAAAGTGGGTTTTTATATCTTTCTGGACACTCTATTTAAATACTAATAACGTGGGATGGGTCCATTTTCCAAGCTGCTCAAGACACATTTTCTGAGTATGTATATATGACATATTAGAAGAAGATAACCCCCCCCCCTCGAACGTACATTAAAACTATGCCACTGCCTCCCGCTCAGGAAATACACGTCCCTAAAGTTAAGCAGTATATTCTCTCATTTAACGGTATACTGAACAAAAGTATACAGTTAAATGAGAGAAATAATTTGCAGGTAAAAACTTTCTTTCATTCATTTTAAAACAATTTGAACCATGAAATTGAAATTTTGATTGCCATTTTGTGGTTCAGGTAATTCTAACTGAAACTAAATAATAGTTTCATTAATACTATATACACTATCTGGCCAAAAGTTATCCCGTTGTTATGGTCGTGGAAACATAATGGTGTGTGGGGGTGGGGGTTTCTCATGGTTTGGCCCATTGGTTCCTGTGGTTGGAACTCAGAGATGTATGGGATTGCACTCCCAGCCCAATGGCAGTATTTCGACCCATTTCTCTTCCATTCACGCATAGAGGCTTGCAGAGAATTACAAAATGGGTGTTCAGAAGCTGCCTTCTCAGAGCCCCCATTTAAATTCTATAGAACACCTTTAAGACGAGCATAGATTAAGTTCAGTTGTGATGGAAGTCCTATTCAAAAACTGGTGCAAAGTCTTCACTGAAGGGCTGTCATCGATTCAAAAGAGGGACCGACATCATATTAATACGTGCCTAAGGAGGTTCACACCATTGGGTGCCCAGATACTTATGGCTAGATATTGTGTGTGTATATAAGTAGGTGTGTGTGTNACATATATATATATATATATATACATATATATAGATAGATACATATATATATGTATATGTATCTATATATATATGAATATATGTAACATAAAAAGCTTCAATTAATCTTTTTATGTTATATATTTTCTGTAAGTCCTTTTTATTTTATTCTAATCGTAACATTTTCCCTCACTCTTAAAATTCACATCCTGTCCTTAAATCTAATTTTGGCTCAAGTATGTAGTCAATGAAAGTAAAGACATTTTTCCCTTTACTCTTTGTGGGAATCGGGCGGCCAATTTAATAAACCGATAGTTATTTCTAAGATTTCCTTTTTTCCTTGAAATATAGTCAAATACAGGGAAATTCATTTGCTACTTTCTCTAGGATAAAAACATAAGCATGCAGTTTTGGAGTGTGAATTTGAGCTCCACCATGGATAGAAAATGTTTTGAATATATCGTGTGAAGCTAAATAAAATCTTTTTGCCTTCCAACTGTTATCCGCGTGACTCGACGACACTCGACCGTGACTGCCACCCTTTTGTATATATACATATGAATGTATGTATACTAGTTATCGTCTCTTATGCTAGTGCCTTAGCCTCTCTAATACTAATATCTTTCTGCAAGATGCTTTTAAAAAAGACATTAAATAACATTAAAAAAGGTGATGTTAATATTTTATTATTGTTGTAGGTTTCTGTGTGTTCTATCATCCCTCTGATCATTCTTGCTGTTGCTGTCATGTTGGCATTCTACCCAACATTGGCACACCTCACTGCCACATCCGACCATATGTAATTAATGAAGATGCCTTAGCTGCCTGCAGCAGAAGCGAATATACTGTAGTTCCCCCATATTTTGTTTTAATATCCTCTTTTGCTTTATTTGTAATTAGTTATATTTTATTGGCATGGTCAGAAGCCAGCCATTTTGTACAGTTAATTCAAATTTTATTTGATCCATTTTGAATAAAACATGTATTATGTTTATGTTTCTTTAAATTGTTCTCTGCCTGCTGTCTATTTTGATCAAGTTAAATTATAATTCAATGCGATTCCTACCTTTAAAATATATTTAGTAAAAAAATAAATAATTGAAAGCAAAACAATTTGTAAATTGTTATTCTATTTTACCTGAACAAGGTTAAAAAGGTAAGAAATTACCTATAAAACTATGTCAAAATAGTGATTAAACTATTTTGATGAATCTTATTTTAATTGTTTTAACCCTATTAAATTTAACTTTTGGGAAACGTTTAGAAAAAAAAGCTGGTTTTGGGTTTAATTGTAGAGGTGAAATATAAATAGAACTGGATCATTTCTATTTTCAATTTCAAATTGTTATTTCAATGGAAGAAAATTGTAGTGGTAAATAGGGTTGTTTACTGTGCAGAAACTTTTGTTAGGTAAGTTAATTTATCACTTTTTGAAATTGCTTATTTATTATATAAATGAACTTTCAGATTGTTCTTCTTTCCCTCAAAAAATCACAATTTTATTCATTCCAAAATCAAAATGTATGCTTTTAAAACCATCTTACAAGTAAACAAATCAACAGAACCTAACCATAAAGTAATAATTATAAGAAATAATAATTCATTATTAGTATCTTTTTTTTTTTAAATTCCAGTGCTAAAATGTAATAGGGGAAGTTTTAGCACTACTTGTTTTTGTACTTTGTTTATGTTTTTTTTTTTTTTTTAAACTCTTTATAATCTTTTAAAAGAATAAATTCTCTAATATTTTTTTAATTTCAGCAGCTTGCTTTCAATAAATTTAGTTAATAAATCAAATTCACTCGGAGAAAAGAGGTGTTATGTTATGAACGATTATGAGACTTTAACATTAACGATTTTAACACTTAATTGGTCACTTGCAGAAGAAGTAAATCGAACATACTCACACATATGACCTATGACGTCAGCACCAGCTGATCATCAATAGACAAAGTTTAACTAATTTTTTCCACACAAATTAGAATGTTAATTAGTGCGAAGTTGTTGAAATGCTGCGCCGTTTCGCTCATTGAATTTGCTGAAATATAATTCTTTCTTAGATTTATTGTTTGTTTACGTATTTTATTGTAAAAAGTGATTTAATTTTGTTTGTTACAAAATCACTAGCCCTGGCAACTTTGATGCAGTCCTAGTGATTATTATTATAATTTTAAAAATCAGATATTTTTGATTTAAATCTGATTTTTTTATTTATTTAAATACACTGTAAGAACTTTGATTTTCGATTAAAAAACTTTGTAAATGTTTAATCAAAATTAAATTAATATTAAAGCTATATTATAACAATATTTTAGAAACTCTAATTACCTAAAACTATTTTTCATAATAATACATAGCTTTGAATGCATATCAACCATTTTGAAACAAATGCATTATTGAAATTTAAAGACTAGATGAAATAGAGAATTTAAAGAATACTTTAACTATTAAAACAAAGTTTGTATTAGCAAACCATGATTTTTATTTAAAATTATGATTACTTTTTCTCTGTTTTTTAAAATGACAAAATAAATGTAACAGATTGTGTTCATAAATGTAGTCATTCATCAAAAAATAAATAAATATTTAATCTATGTATTTTTATATTAAAATATTCATTTTTAATCCTATATCAAAATAGATAAATTAAGTTTAAAAAAAATTAAAAACTCTATGTGCTCATTGGAATTTTTTTTCACAAAATTTCTTTATAGAAAATCTGATAATGTCAAAGATACTGTAAACATATTATGAGAAAAAATACTTATTGATAAAAGAGACAGCACAATTCTAATTCTGGGTTATTTAATTTAATAGCATAGACATTTTCATTCTGCAATTTTAAATTAATGTACACAATATTAAAGATAACATAAATATAATAGTTTGTTGTTGCTAAACTGTATAAAAAGAAACATTTTCCAGCTTTCTCGTTTCCTAAGGGATTGAGTAGTTTAGATTGTACTGCACTATCAATACATATAAAAAAAAATCAGTTGATTTAAATCAACAAACCCTGCTTAAATACATAATTAGTTTATGCTCTACATGGTTTCATGCCTATTTTTTTGTGTTGAATAAGAATTGTATGAGTTGAAATCATTGTGACGGATTATAAAATGTACCTCTTGACCTGCTTGGTTTACTTGAAATAGAATGGAAAGAACAGTTGCTAATGTAAACAAAGCCACGTTTTTACAACCAATCAGCAAGGGCGGCGTCAGAGGGGTCAATTGCCCCCCACTTATGGGGACGAACTTAAATGTTGTTGGGAAAACACTACCATCTTGAAAAGAAATATAATTACGTTCTTAAAAAAATATAGCTTTTTTTTTTTGTTAACAAGAATAAATTAAAAACTCAAAGACAAAAATGTGATCTTTTTACTTGCACTTTACCACCTGTTATCCTGTTCACTTTTCCTCAGAAAATTCTGAGGGACAAGTCTTTTGTTTGTGTCCCTATGGAAAGATATTCAAAACCCCTGAGGGATAGGGAAAGACTGTCCTACCTCATCCTACTCACGTTACCACACTTTTGGAGACTGACTAATGCATGTACACTTTCTCCACATTCAATAAAGAAAAGTATTTTGTTATACGTCACACCGTTTAATGTAAAAAATTCGATTTGGAAATAGTGATGGACTAAGTTTGTTCTGTCAATCTTTTTTTTTTTTTAATTTTCTCTTAAATAGTGTAAATATTTAAATATGCTAATAAACTCAACTATAATTGTTCATATATGAGTTAAAATAGACTACCAAGTTGTCTTATGAACATTATAAAGAGGACCTGAATCATTCTGTAGTTAAAATGCACATGCTATTCCGCCAGAAGTAGTTTTTCTAATCATGAAAAGACACTTTTTTAACACTAGAAAGACAAACTTACCTATATTGCCATAAAAGCAGTCAAAATTGTGAAAGAATAATGTGTAAAAAAACTTGTTTAATATATACACGTAGAGGGACCGATCAAGACAAATTCATAAAATATTTTGAAATTAAATTTCTGAAGAGTAATCCTAACAAAGAAAAGAATCTCTTGAACTGCATGATTCAAGAGAAACGTTCTAAAAAAAGCAGACAATTGAAGATTTTAAAGACAAAGTTAATGCATATAAATATTAAAGCAAAATAGAAAATATTCTGTGAAAATAAAAATAGTTTTGTGATCACAAACAAGTGATTTTTGCTGAAAGTCACTGATTAGCTGAATTATTTTAAAGATTGTAGCCCTACAGCTTTACATATTTGTTAAGCTTTCTGTTCTTGTTGACACTAATCATTCATAAGAGACAATATGCATCCTCCTTGCATTTGCTTAAGCCATTGGAGTAAAAATTGCACCCATTAAAAGTCAACTATTCTTTCGAATTTGATTTGTGCAATGTTTACACGAGTTTGGTTTATCACACCATGAAGAAAATTTTAAATAAAAAAGTGCCTTTTTCGAGAATATCTGTTTCTTTCAGTATTCAAAAAAAGTAATATTGTGATCTTTTAACTAATTTTTGAGGCCCCCCAAATAATGTGAGCCCTAGACCCTCGATTATTGGGCCGAGGGCAACCAGGCCCTAGGCGATAATCAGGCCCTATTAGCTTACTGCAATAGCGTCAAAAATTCATTAAAGGAAAATGCATTTTTCCGTTATTAAAATTAACGAAAGAGGGCAAAATGGAAGACGGTTCTATTTATTTATATCTGATATTAATATTGAAAGTGGACATCATTTCACCTTATTTCCCACTTCCAGTCATAATCCTTAAAGGAATATTCAAAATGTTACAAAAGGAGTCGAAAAAGAGCAAATACACTGATATTCCTGAAGTTTTCCCAATAAAAAAAAAAAATTTTCCCACATGCAGAAAACTCCAGAATATCGAAAAACACATTAAAAAAATAATAAATTTAAAATAAACAAAAAAAAAATTTCTTTGAGAAACCGTCCGTCCCTGGGATTCGAAACCAGGACCCCTCCCTCTAGCAGCGAGCTTGCTTGTCTGGTGGCCTACCTTCCAGTCCACGGAGATACGTGAAGCTCTCTCCTCTCATCTTCGCAATATACATTTAGGGGCTCACTGTGAGCCCCCTAAATGGCCTATAAAAATTTTCTTCGGCAGCCATGTTTGGACCATAGACCCCTACTTAGGGTCCGAGTTTGAAAATTATACCTTGATATTAAAGGGAGCTAGAGGATCTCGAAATTTGAACTTTACTTATTTTTTACGCTATTTATTATTTATTACGCCATCTTATTTTTTAATTCTTTTTTTTTTTATTATTCCATTACGCTTTCTTTGCTGGATTTCACACACAGACCAAAATGTTACAAAAGAAGTCGAAAAAGAGCAAATAAACTGATTTTCCTGGATTCCTCCTGTTTTTTCCCATTTTCCCAATAAAAAAATTTTTTCCTATATGCAGGACCCTCCAGAATATCGAAAAACACAAACAATTTAAAATAAACAAAGAAAAAAAAATAAAAAAATTTTGAAAATTTGCACGTTCCTGGGATTCGAACCCGGGACCCCTCACTCCAGCTGCGAACTTGCTTATCTGGGGGCCTACCTTTCAGTCCACGGTCATACGTGAAATCTACCACAGTTTCGCTTCAACATATTACCTCTCATCTTCTCCTTATCTCTTCATCCATATCTCTTTCCTCCCATCTTCGCAATATACCTTTAGGGGCCCACTATAATTTTCTAACTTGGAACCTAAATAGGGGTCTTTGGTCCAAACAAGGCTGCAGAAGAGAGTTTTTATAGGCCAATTAGGGGGGACACAGTGGGCCCCTAAAGGTATATTGCGAAGATGAGAGGAGAGAGCTTTTGAAGCGAAACTGTGGCAGACTTCACGCATCACCGTGGGCTGGAAAGTAGGCCACTAGACAAGCAAGTTCGCTGCAGGAGGGAGGGGTCCTGGGTTAAAATCCCAGGAAGAGATAAATTTTCAAAAAAATTTCTTCTTTTTTTTTGTTTATTTTAAGTTATATTATTTT